GCTACCTGGGTGACGCAACCGTGTAGCGGCTACCTGGGTGACGCAACAGTGTAGCGGCTACCTGGGTGACGCAACAGTGTAGCGGCTACCTGGGTGACGCAACAGTGTAGCGGCTACCAGGGTGACGCAACAGTGTAGCGGCTACCTGGGTGACGCAACAGTGTAGCGGCTACCTGGGTGACGCAACAGTGTAGCGGCTACCTGGGTGACGCAGCCGTGTAGCGGCTACCTGGGTGACGCAGCCGTGTAGCGGCTACCTGGGTGACGCAGCAGTGTAGCGGCTACCTGGGTGACGCAGCAGTGTAGCGGCTACCAGGGTGACGCAGCAGTGTAGCGGCTACCTGGGTGACGCAGCAGTGTAGCGGCTACCTGGGTGACGCAGCAGTGTAGCGGCTACCTGGGTGACGCAGCCGTGTAGCGGCTACCTGGGAGACGCAACAGTGTAGCGGCTACCTGGGTGACGCAACAGTGTAGCGGCTACCTGGGTGACGCAACAGTGTAGCGGCTACCTGGGTGACGCAGCAGTGTAGCGGCTACCTGGGTGACGCAGCCGTAATCTGCCACTTCCGGGTGATTTAACAGTGTAGCGGGTTACCTGGGTAACGCAACAGTGTGCGGTTAATGGGTGTGACAACAGTGTAGCAGTTACCTGGGTGACGCAACTGTAGAAGCGGTTACCTGGGTAACGAACAGTGTAGCTGCTACCGGTGACGCAACAGTGCTGCTACCTGGTGACGAACAGTGTAGCGTGCTACTCTGGGTGACGCAACAGTGTAGCGGCTACCTGCGATACAACAGTGTAGCAGAAGCTACCGGGTGACGCGAACTGCAACGGCACGCAGACGCAACAGAGAAGCGGCTACCTGGGTGACGCAACAGTGTAGCGGCTACCTGGGTGACGCAACAGTGTAGCGGCTACCTGGGTGACGCAACAGTGTAGCGGCTACCTGGGTGACACAACAGTGTAGCAGCTACCTGGGTGACGCAACAGTGTAGCGGCTACCTGTGTGACACAACAGTGTAGCAGCTACCTGGGTGACGCAACAGTGTAGCGGCTACCTGGGTGACGCAACAGTGTAGCGGCTACCTGGGTGACGCAACAGTGTAGCGGCTACCTGGGGGAAATACCACAACGCTGTTTCTTCAATGATGTGCCACTTTTTGATGTTTTATGCTTATACTGTACGTATCTGGAAGTTTTTAATTACTGGATCAATCGGTGTGCCAGTCCGTATTTTCAATTTGTGTGCCAGTCAGTGCAGTCAGTTGCTGCGCAAGTCTATGTGGCCAGTCAGTGCAGTCAATCATTGTGCTAGTCATTGTGGTCAATCAGTGTGGCCAGTCATTGCAGCCAGTGCAGTCAATCATTTGCCCCCGCAATAATCTGTCGCTGAATGATCATTAAAATTTATTGATTTGATTGTTTAATAAAACCTTACTGAATAGATTTTGTTTATAATACTAAGGGTACCTAAGAACAGTGATTCTAAATAACAAACATGGGAACAGGTATGCTCTCGGGGGTGGACATACATCCCCCCACCCACACATGCACACAGTTTTGCTCGTCAAATACCGTCTTGATTTACACTTGGAAGCTTTTAGAATCTGAAGAGGTTTGTTAGTTCTTAAGTCAGAAGGTGAAAAGAAAATACAGGTATGGAGAAGCTGTCCCTCCTTATGAAACTTCAAGGTTTGCTGCTATTATAGCTTTATACAGTACAAATTAAGTTACATTGCTTGGCTGGTCTGCCAGAGCACATTATGGACATCTTCCTGTTTTTCCTCCATGTCAGCCTCGGGCACTATGAGTTATAGCCAAGATTGGGTAAATTTTACCTTATTCCACTGGTTGTAAGGTAATACTTGTTAACTTCTCGGCTTGGAAATAATTTTTTTGTAGCCTGTGTTGACAGCTCAGAACAAACTTTTCTGACAGTACAGTATCCTCGACAGTTTACAAATCATTACTACGGAAACCAAATTTTACCAGGGGTGCTGAATATTAATTCTGGTGGTGTCCTAGATACTCTGTGGTGCAATGTGTAACCAAAAATATTGGAGGTGCTGCAGTACCATCAGCAACTCTCCCTCCTTTCCCTTGTTCATGCTTACTCACTTCTACTGGTTACCAGCGGCTAGGCCGTATATACAGGAGCAGTAGATATATCACAAGTGTCGGCGAATTGCCTCTAGTTGTCCCGCCAATCTCCGGTAATTTCATGATGATTGGTATCGGTGTACAGACAAAGCAACAGGCAGGTAGATTTCCACCAGGTTACAAATGCACTTGTGAACTGTAGTCTTCTTTAATAATTGCTAAAGCTTCCCAAAACTGCTCAGAGGGTATGTCCTTACAACTGGACTTCTCACTTGAAATACAGCCACTCCTTGACTTATGACGGGATTAGGGACCCAAATCCAGGTCGTGAATCGAAAATGCGAAGATAATACATAGAAAATCTAAAATGGGTGTCTCTTTTTCTTCTCAGCACCACAAAACTCTCAATTTTAAGCATGCCAGCCATTTTAAAGGAAATTACAAACGAAAATTTTGTCAGTACACACTGCAATCACTAACGTTGGACTCGAAAGTACGTAATTTGAAAAAAAAATTTGGTGCAACTGGGGCGGTCGTATGTCCGGATGGTCGTAAGTCAAGTAGGTCGTAAGTCGAGGAGTGGCTGAATATACGGCCAGCACTCTACCTGTATGATATGGACACAAAGTAGTACCTTCAGCTGTGTATTATTATATTGCTCTTATATTACTCCATTAATTATGTATAGTAAAGTATTACAGAACATGTATTAATTCTATGTAATATTCCCATTTATTGTGCACCATATTATGTACAGTATATAAATTATCATATTTATACTTTTTGTATTCAGCTTGTGAATGCTGGCATCTGTACAGGCCAGCGTGCAGTAATACATAGATAGAGAGAGAGAGTGAAGACAGAGTCTTTGTGGTGTGGAAGCGAGCTCCTGGGTCCCTCTGTATATATGTAACTCCCGTACGAGAATAGAACCTACTTTTAAGATAACAAGTGTTTGTGTGTACCCTCAGTAGTGTAGAACATTTTGTGGGTATTCAAGACGAACATCAGACTACCAATGTACAATTCCTTAGTCTTTTCACTTTATATTGCCCACAACAATACCACAATATGCTTGAACAAGAATTATCTTTAGCTGTCACTAGGCTTGTACTTTACACTTTGAGTAGGAACCGGCGACCACTCTCCCAAGGCAGGTCTCTGGTACTTATATTCCTCTTGTTCGATGCATAGAGCATTCTAATGCCATCTAGGCATTACAGGTCGGAAAGAGATATGCCTGGAAAATTCTAGAATGATCTAATGCTTTCAATATGTAAGCAAATCATAGCAAAAATGATGCAGTACATTCTAGAAAATTCTTACATACCGGTAGATAATACATAAAGATGTACAAGAAAATCTCCCCAAACTTGCCAAAATAACTGCTGCTTGGAATAGAAAATAATCAGAAAACCTAGTTCACAAAAAATTATAATACTAAACTATGCCTCGGCATAATATTTTGGAAAATTATCTGTAACATGAGGCGTCTGTGTATAGTTTTGGTGTGTATTTTTACAACAAATTCTTCACTGGGGAGAGATATACCCTGATGTTGTATATTTGTTTCAGGTGCTATTAGATATCAAGGGCGGTGAGACTCAGTGGTCATGGCAGACTCCTCCATCGTCGCCGTCCTCTCTTGGGTCTCGGAAGTCCTCCATGTGCTCCATCTCTTCACTCAACTCCTCCTCCTCCTCCTCCACACATTCTCCCTCACACCATAACCGTACACGTTCTGTCAGCCAGGTTTGTTTCATATTTTATTATTATTTCTTGCTGTTCTCCAGTTTATTCTTAATGTAATGACATTTTACAGCACAAACCACTAAAGCAAGCAACAGGTAGGTGCAGATGGAATTAAGTTACTGTCAATCTAAGAAGACACCTATTATTAGGTATGTGTTGTAAACTTAAATAAAAATGATTTTAATTTCTTTTAAACCTTTACAAGAAACAGGTAAGTACTGCTAAAATAAGAAAAAACTGTTGTACAAGAATTCAGATGCACCTCACAATAGCAATATTCTGTAGATTCATTCTTTGCTTGACAGTAACATAGTGAGTTTAGTAGTGAGAGATAAAGAAGGTCATGTTTGTACTGTACTGTATCTTACTGCACTTGTAGAGGCTTCAGTTGATCACATCTTTTCAATAGTGTTTTTCTTCTGCTCTCTTACTACTGTACTTATATATTGGAATTCATACTAGTTTTTATAAATATTAACTATTCGTTTATTTTTTAATAAATTTGTACTAATAATGTAATTAATTGCGCTAATACTATGGCTCCCTTGCACAGTCTTAATGTTTAGTGTTTTTACCTTTTTCTTTTATAATTATTGAGCGTGATTTCCATTCCAGAAATAAGTATCGGATGTTAGATATGATTAAATTTGAATTAACCTAGATCAACACTGAAGGAGTGTTTGGTGGTTTTATAAGGGCTATCCTTACTGCTTACCATTGTACACATGTACAGCCACCCACATGTATTCATATACACCTTAGTTTTTTTTTATTTAAACAGTTGGTTACATGGGGATCAGTAACAAGGTTCTAGCCTAATCACAAGATACCGGGTAACTGGTTTAAAGGAGAATTGGATGTCGGTCACACTAGAATAACCCATTATAGTACTGTACATCCTTTCCTCACACAGCCAAGCTGTGGAATGCTCTGCCTTCTTCTGTGTTAAAATACTTATACAATCTGTCTCTTCAAAAAGCTGGTTTTCCGGCATCTTCGTGGTGCAGATTAATACAAAAAAAATTATATTTTTAATTTCGTTTTACTTTATTTTTCCCCCCTAGGCCTCGTTGTAGGTCGATGACCTGTGCCTGGGTGGGCTATTCCCGTAAAAAAAAAAAAAAATGTTAGGTTATGTCAGTGTGCCTCTTGTTATCTCTCATAAACATATTGATGCCCCTCACAAACAAACACTGGCTTTGACCTTGACGCTGTTGCTGGTTCTCGGGAAGTTTATAACCGTACTTGTTTTTTTCTTTGCTTCCGATTCTTATTTCTGCAATGGGAATTAATATGTCTGTAATGAACAAATTATAAAACCACAAATAAAAAACTGTGTTATTAATAGAGCTTCAGTGTTACTATAAATGGAGGTAGACCCTTGTTAGCTTAGCAATAACTTTCCTATGATGCTTTCTCTCAGTACAAAGTTTGTGATGTACTGTAATTTCTGAAAATCTATACCTTTTGTCATTTTCTTACATTTATATGTTTTTTGGTGTCTAGTTAGTTTTATTAATTTTCATTTAATTAGTACAGTATATCTAAATGACAACATTCTTTATTCCTTAAATGTTAATTTTGCCTGAATTATTTTCATAAGCCATAAACTCTCTCCTAGTTCAATAATATACTTTTTGTATTGTAAATTCATTATTATTATTATTTTTTTTTTTTTATTTCTTCTGAGTTTTGTTTTTTGTGGTAGTAGTATGTTATGTTATCGTCTCTAGGGCACAAGGCTGGTGAGTGTGTCATCGCAGGACTCAGGGTTTACCTCGCAGGACACCCTCTGCCACCCTTCACACCCTCACACCTCAACTGCCCTCCAGGTACATGTGGTAACATATTATGCTTCATCACATTATGTCCGTCAGTCTTCTGTGGTGACAATCTTGTTTCTTCACCAGGCAGTGTGTTTAATGAGCACTAACAACCTTAACTCCTTTTTAATTGTTTAAAGAAACACCATCATATTGACTCTTTGAGTATATTAACTTATGTACAACTAAGATTTATGTAAAAAAGTAATTCCTTTTAATAATGACACTTCAAATACCGTACAAGTATTTCCACTGATAGTTTGTACTATACTAACACCTGCAACATACCTTGTTATAGAAGCAAAATTAATTACATGATTAATGAGAAAGTAAGCTGCAAAAGACAAACAATTTAATTTTGTTTCATTTAAGTGACTTAGTTATTATCATGTGTCAGAGTATTTAGTATGTTCTGTACTGTACAATTTTGCTTGATAAGATGGAAAAAATTTACCAGAAAGAAGTTTAGTACAATACTCACGGTAATTTAACAGTACTGTACTGTACAGTAATTTTAGATCAGTACCATTGTTAAATAGTGCAGGAGAAACACTTATGTTATTTGTTTGCCTTTTGCACACCCTAAATTATTTCCTTGTGGAGATAATGATGACAAAAAATGATGTCATACAAACCAATTCCCAGGTATGACTGATGTTGTAAGTGTAGCAAACCTAAGGGAGTGATGACCACAGCACTGTATACACAACTGGGCAGCTCTGGTCATGATTACCTGCTTCAATAGGAGTTCAAATTCAATGCCAGTTGCCAGTGCTTGTGGTACAATTTTGAAAAGTGTCATCATTTTTTCCTACATGAAGAGGCAGATCCGGGCACCAATCTTGGGGGATACCTGATGTAGCAGCTGCACATATCCAAGTTTTGTGAGGATGAGGGGGGGGGTACCAAAGGTGTGAGGCATTAATATAGGGAGTTTGGGGTTAGCAGTTGCCAAGGCATTTGTAAAGCATTTTGACGTAAGTTCGGTTGATTTAATGGTTTATATTGTAAACCTTTAACTATTAGTAAGCAGGAGATCCTCCAGGTTCCCATGATTCCAGTAAGGAAAAATGTCTGATTTGAGGAAGAGCTGTGTATGAGATCAATAAGAGAAGTAATTAAGAAAATTAATTAAATAATTTGTATATTAATGATTTAAATATTTCATTGCAATATATAAAACGATTAACATGGTGAGTGCAAAAGTATTTTCAATAAAAACAACTATACAAACATTGTGTGATCTGTCATTTTTTGTCCTAGTAAAATATAAATCTGCACGTCTACTAGGTGCTACTTTGGGCCTGACAGTAGCCGAATCTTTTGCTTAAATAACACAAGAATACTGATGTGTTGGAATATTGCATGGACATGATGGTAGTGTACAGTACAGGTACTGTACTTAGAAAGTAATTAACTCCGCTCCTTAGAAAAGAAAAGTTTCATCTCTAGGGGCCAAAAGATAGTTAGCCTCCCTTCTGCTGACATGGGGGGGTCATGGCCCCTTTGCCCCCCCCCCCCACCTGGATCTGCCCCTGCATAAATATTTTGTGTTCACACCCAGGGAGAAGAGAAGGAAGTGGGGATGGAGGAGAAATCACCTTTCAGGGGACCCAAGCTTGATGCAGTAATTTCACCAATAAAATTTTAAGTTCACTAGGTGTAATTCAAGATTATTTTATTTAAATCGACACTGCACTGCGCTATATATTATCAATATGTTAACTGTAGCTGTGATATAAAGAGATCGTTATATAAAGTCGCTATATATCCCGACCCTACTGTACCTGTATTCAAATTATTTGCTGCCTTACAAGGATTCCAGCAATCCAATTTATATTCTGCTAACTTTTGACTGTCCCATTTTATGACAAGTTTAGTCACTTTTATTAGCCTCCAGAACCTAACCCTATTTTCCCCATTGATTACATGTAATTATATATCGTGATTTAGTATATACAGTATAGCAAAAATCCTTGGACCCTATCTCGTGATATATCCCGACCCTACTGTACTGTATATATATGTAAAGTTGTTCTTTAAAATTTTTTGAATTTCTTAAGTTTGTAAAAATAGTTTTAATTGTGAGAAATATTTAGTAATTGATGATTTGATTCCAGGCATCAGGGTTGTCAGAGCAGTCGTGTGGGTCTGAGGGCAGCACACCATCACCTGCCACATCCAATGCTACCTGGCCCAACCTCACTGATCCCTCGCTGCATCAGAAGGCTGCACCAATTCTCTCAGACAGGCCACACACCATCTCCTCTGGTAATGGCGCTTTGTCTTTTCCCACTTTTTAAACCATGGTCCCCAGTTGACCTCTTCCCATAATATTGTTTCATGAACCAAACTCATCCCTGATGAATTAAGAACTTTAAATTGTATATGCAATGAAATGACTTCACTAAAGCTTTAAGCCTGTTAGAGCTTCACTGAATGATATGGCATTGATGACGTACATTTGCTGAGATTTTACAGAAGCAGTATTGTACTGTACTCAGTATTGCACATTATTGAGAGACAATTGGGAGGTCTCTGAGGCTGGGCTTCTTTTAATGATACACCAAGAGAGCCACAGTGAGGAATCACTCACGACTGTACACGAGGGTCTGTGATGTGTGGAGGGAAAGAACCTCTTAGTCAACAGCAGCCTCGAGTTGTTCATCACATGAAGTTTAAAGAATGTTTTCAAGCTTCAATTAAAAGATGGCTCAGGGCCAGCAGAGATCTTCCTTTTGAATGACTGGGCGATCTGGTCACTGGACACTGTGCTCTTAGAATTCAAAGAGTACACAGAAGGTCTCTTTGGTGTCACTGACTATTTAGAGAGAGGCACTTCTCTGGTTCAAAGTTTAAATTCAAGGATCACACACACAGAGCATGTAGTACAATGTGATACTTGTTAGAAAGTTTCCTCAAACAGGTAAAAGAATAACCCTGACTAGGAGAGTTAAACATGGCTTACTATATTGCTAACAAATGTTCTATTAGTTTTGTATTTTATTTTGCAGCATACGAGAAGGGGCGAGACCGACCCCCATTGACCGTGTACACATTTCAGCCTCCAGAAGGACGTGGTGGCCTGGCATCTCCCCAGATCTGTTCCCAACCTTGTAGCCCAGTCTGTCTTGAGGTAGAAATACTCTACTGTATTACTTGTATGTTTTTCTATGATAAAGAGGGATGTACGAAAAAGATATTATGTTTGTGTGCATTTATATTTTTCCGTATTTTCATTCTTATTTTAAGACTGAGAACAAATTTATTTGATTTTATTGTTATTCATTCATTCATGTTGATGAAATTATAAGTAATTATATCCTAAAAGTCTGTTATCTTAATTTTTCAGCTTGAAAGTGGGTGTGTGAGTCCCCTGGTTGGCCTCACTGCCACTATTTCTCGACGATCGTCTCGTACTTCACTTCATCACAACCTTTCCTCCTCCAGCCAGGAAAGCCTCACAACATCTGTAAGTTACATAAAAATACCCTTCATTTTCAAAGAGAAAAAGGGATCTAACCTTTACTCTGTTGCTTTTACTGTATCTTGCTTCTTATTAGGTCTCATAATATTTGCTGAAGAAATTTGTTCGTTGTCTTGACTCTCAAATACATTTAATGAGAGTTGCTTCAGTCTATACTGTGAAATAGCTTTTGTGAAAGAGATCTGTTATACCAGTACAGTACTGTAGTTCAAAGGAAAGGGGAAAACTAGAAATAGAGAAGTAAAGAAGATAAAACATTTATTCCAGCCAAATTAATGTTAAATGAAAAACTAAACGAGGGATATTTGTGGTACAGTACTTGTATATAAATATATCTTACTTTCTTATCCTTTCGTCTTTTCCCTTCAGATAAACTCGTTGATACAAAACTAGGCTTATTATTTGTTAACTTGAACAGGAAGCTCAGGAGAGGCGTGTTACAAAGTTGGCTGGTGGTGATAGAGTGGGCCTTCTACAATATGAGCCGTGAGACTGTGTGTTATTTGTAGACACAAGAATGTGGTGTGAAGTTGACTTGTCGTGTCATGATATAGCAAGAATGACAACAAGACCCGCCACTCAACATGAGCGTATTGAGACATTACGGAATGTTTCAATCGGCGCCACTGTGTCAAAGTGCCTTGCGACCATCCATCTCTGTAGACATGCTATATGTTTTCACTATTAATATAGATATATTAACAAGAAGCAGAACATACTAATATGACCAAGGAACTTTTTCTTCTCCATCAACAGGGTAAACCCAAGCCTCCCGTGCCAAATCGTTGTTCATCACTTGAACGTCCAGCTGTACCAGAGAAGAAGCCCATTATTCGTAACCAACAGCATCAACAACAGCCACAGATACAGTCACAGCCACAGCGAGCAATGTCACAGTTTGGCTCGAATAAAATGGTGCCAATGGTGCCAGATTTTAACTTGGCAGCTCCTGATATGAGTAAGTTTTTTTCACAGCTTGAGACATTGCTGGTTTTAAACTTTATCAGTTTTAAGATGCTATTACATGTACTGTATAGTTTAGGATATTTACCTATAGTTAGCAACTCAAAAATCATACCATTAATTTTTTGATGCTTACCAAAATTTTTTATATTTAACACCTAGACTGTGACATACCTCATTTGTAGCCACATACAACTGTTAACTGGCTTCATATGTGAACGGCCATTTTTTAAAGTGTGTGACAATAAAGCACATTACGTGTCCCAGTAAACCTCCGCACACTACATTACCTACGCCTCAATAGGGCCCTCATTTGTCGTTGTTGTCATGGATAATGCACTTTTTCGACATGACGCTTGGGAGTTGTGCTTCATAAACTTTGACACCGTGGACATTCAGTTCTGGGTGATAGATTTCCTATTGTTCTTATTACTCCTATTTATAAAAGTCTTTGTTACATTCTGTAATGGATGATTAGTCATTTTGAATCGTAGATTTTGAATAAATATGTGGAAAAGTTTACAAATATCCACCATGCTCTGATAGTTGGAAATTTGTTCTGTGCCATTAGGATCATAGGTGGGACCCATGATTTATTTCTTAAAAACATTATTGATTGCTATATCTGGTATTAATTTCAGTTGTGCCTCAGCCAGTATACAGCAATATGGCAGAGTTGTGTGGTGGTGATGGGGGTGGTGTCGTAAGTGGAAACTCAGCATGTACTGGCAGCGAAGTAACAAACCCTGAAGGGTCTAACATTTCTCTCGCATCTAGTGGCAATGGGTCACAACCAAATTTGCAACAGGAAGGTGCTACTGTATCTGATGGTAAGACTGCACTCAGCTAGCCTGCAATTTGTCTGAGCAGTAAGGTTATTCAATGTGTTGCAGAAAGGCCTTTCTTTTATTTGAAGTTATTTTGCTTTTAGAAAGATGAAAGTACTGTCTTGTTTGGTACTGTGGGACATTTACATTCCGCTATTACATGTTTCACTAAAACTGAAGTGTCATGTTCATGGATAGCTATGAGTATGAAGCTACTAAAGAGTATTAGTAATATATATCTTTCATGTGTTTGTGTGTGCATGTGGGGTCCTGTATCAGCCTCTTTAGTCACCTCAGAACTTGCCAACCAAGGTGACATCCTTAATAACTCGTATCATAGCTGAATGATCGTCATACTCGATTCCGAGTGACAGCAAAGTAGTAGTAGTAGTAGTAAGTGGAAACCAACTAATTAAACAAAATTGGATGGTCCATTACGACAGAGTGGCAGCACACCCAAAGAGATAAACTGCAACAACTGTTGCAGCAATTGCCAGAGAACTTGAAAAAAAAAGTAGCTATAGTGCAGGAGGTGAGCGCTTCAGACTGGCTAACAACATTACCGATAAGGGCAAAAGGCTTCATCCTTAATAAACAAGAATTCAGAGATGACATTGCTCTAAGGTACGGTAGGCCAGTAGAAGGTTTGCCCTCCCAATGCATTTGTGGCCCATCGTATGACATTGATCACGCTATGCTGTGCAAAAAAGGGGGGCTTCGTATGCATGAGGCATGGCGAAGTGAGAGGCCTAACAGCAAATCTACTGTGGGGAAACCTGCCACGACGTCATGGTGGAACCACCCCCCCCCCTTTCCATTGGATGGTGAGAACCACCGTCACAGGACTTCAAACACATCCAACGAATCCCACTTGGACGTCAGTGCTCAAGGATTCTGGGCGCGGGGACAGCGAGACTTCTTTGACATAAGGATTTTCGATCCCATGGCCGCATGTCACTGTAACCTAACTCTGGATGCTGCACACAGGAGGAACGAGAATGACAAGATCAGGGCATATGGGGAGAATATTTGGAATGTTGATCAGGGCAGCTGCACTCCTCTGGTGTTCACAACCTCTGGTTGGATGGGACCAAGTGCAAAATGTTTCTATGCCAAACTCGCGGAGGTGTTATCTGAACGGGAGCAGTAGCCCAGAAGTTACGTTACAGCCTAGTTGAGATGTTGACTATCCTTCTCTCTGCTTAGGTCCAATTGCATTTGAAGGGCTAGTGATAATACAAAGAGTTTTAATTTAGGATTGTTGTGTATTATTGTATGATTATTCACTTTACTGGATTGTAACGGGGATACTTTTATCACTAAGGATCTGTTGTGTAGCACTTACAGGTAATTTGCTGCCTCAGTTTATATGAAATTCTGAGTATCAAATGCCGAGTTATCGAGGGTTTACTGTAAATCAAAATATGAATCAAGACAATAGCCACTGCATTGGTGTGGGTCACATGGGTCTGGCTGGATAGAGTTCATGGTAGTTCAGTGTAGGACCATGTTGTGATCACATGACATTCCTTAGCAGTGAAAATTTGTGGTTTTCTCGCAACTGGGTTTTATAGGTTGAACGTTTGCTGTACTCGGGTTTAAAATGACCAGAATTTGAAATCGCGTTAATCAATACACTACCTATAGATATTTATCTCGCTGTATAAAATATGTTGGGATTGAATTCCAAACTAAATTTTGTTTTGTAAGTCCATTACACAAAAAAGTTACTGTAGGTGTCTAGCTCAAAACATACTAAAATCCGTTTGACAGAATGAAGAACTCTTGTAAAATGTTACTATTGTATTGAAATTTATATTTTTTAATCTAAAAACTGTTATATAATTTTTGCATGTCCAGTTTACCATAATTTTGGTAGCAAGTGAGCTTTTTAAGTTAAATGCTTTTTTGTTTTGCATTTTTAGTGAATCCCTTTTTATTGTTTTTATTCATTTGAACTATTCTTGGCTCTAGAAATTGATGCAAGCAAGTACTGCACACTGCGCCGGTACTCAGACCAACCCCTTCAACATTACCAGCCAGGAAGGGTGGTCCTTCGCAGACACCTCTCTCAATCAGGTACTCACATGATGCTCATATTCACCTAAAGTTTTCAGGCAACTAGAATTATTTGACTCACTTTTTCGTAAAAAGTTCAATGGTTTGGTAGGTCTGTCAGTCAATCATAGAGATAGTGAGGAGGGCATGTTGTTTTTCTTACTAAAACTGGGTAATGTGTGGAGTTATGTTCTAGGAGCCTCAATGTGTTACTCATCTTGTGTATTTTTTAACCGAATAACATGGTTCCCAACTTTTTGATAAGGTACTTTAGAGTCAGTAGGCATAGATTTGTGCTTAAATTATAATTTGTACACAAATGACCTTAGACTGGACTGTTAGAGGCAGGGTATTGATGAGCATATATTCCTGTACTGTGCAACTCCTTTTTAGCAAAAATTCATAAATTTATTTTATTTTATTTTATTTTTTTATTTTTTTATTTATTTTTATGCTTTTTTTTATTATTTATCTGGAAGAATAATTAATACTACAACCCCAACACCAAGTGAGTTTTGAAGGGTTGCTCCTTCCTTAGTTAGTGAGTTTTCTTATGAGAAAACTAAGAAATTATTGGACTTGTTAGATCTATTTGAGTACAGTACCGGTACTCGACCTAAGGCAAATTGTGAAGGTCCTGTGAAATAGGATGGTGATGAGGCTTGTGATATATAGATATGGTGTGATGTAGATAATATAACACACACACTATCCATTGTATAGGTAATCTCATTTATATATTTTATATTTATAAAACAACAGGAGAGGCAAATTAATTTCTATTTGATATTTACAATTTTCAGGTGTGATTTTAATGGTATTTTCATGCTAAAAAGTAATAAAATATACCATTTACTTTTTAAGAAGTGATTGTTTCCTTGAAGGGAAAACTGCTGGTGATTAAAGTGAAGGAACTTGATATAGTAGTTGGGTTCAGAGCTGGAAGAATTAATTTTGGTGCAAGGAACAGCAGGTGAGATGGTGGAAACATTGAACCAAAGAAAGTTCAGTGTTAGCTGTATAGAAGTAATGAGGTAGAAAGGTGGTTCAACAAGATTGATCACTGCTAAGAATGACAGATACAAAGTCTCCTGGAAGGGATGTAATTCTGGGTCAGGTTGTGTACAGATCTTGATTGCTAAAAATGGGTGGAGAAAATGCCTAGGATGAAAAGGGTGAATGTGAAAATTATGGTTCTGAAGTGAATATTTAGCAAGATTCTGGTGACTTGTCATATCTGCACGTACTTCACAAGTTGGGCTGAGGGAGGAAGAGAAGGACAAGTTCTGGGATGAGTTGTTGCATAGAGTGTTGGAGCTGGGTGGAAAAGATTGTAGTACTAGGTGGTGTCCTAAATGAGGGTCATGAAGGCATGCAAGGTGGAAAAAACTATAGTACAAGGAATGTGGAAGGAGAAAGGACACTTGAATTATTTATTAATCAAGTGGTATAAAACCCAGATAAACTACATTCTTGTCAGGAAATTAGATAAAAGCTTGTTAGGAATGTAAAGGTTATAGAAGGGGAAGAATGTGTGTCGCAGCACTAATTGTTTGTGTGACATGTTGCTAAGCTTGCTTAGAAGATGCAGGTAAATAAAAAGGGTGTATGTATTGAAGAGGAGAGTGTGGAAGTTGAAGAGAAGCATTTTATGCTAAGCTGAAAACAGTGGAAACGGCCAGCAATAGTGTGAAGGGTAGTGTAGTGAGAGGCTGGTCCAAAATACAGGATGTTCTGATGAGTGCGACAGACAAGATGTGTGGTTGGACGAATGGCCCAGTTAGGAATGCAATTACATTGTGGTGGCATGATGAAGTTGACAGAATAAAAACAGAGAAAGGGTGATTTAGTAATGCATGGAGGATGGATGGTGACAAAGTGGAGTACTTGGAGGCCAAGCATAGGGCCAGAGAGATGTTTACAAGACTAAGAAGCAGGAAGAGGATGCATTTGTGAATATGCTGAATTGTGCAGATGCAAGAGGCAAGGTTTTGGAATAGCTATCGCACTTCTCACGTTTGTTGCATACAACTTTACTTTCAAACGAGGAGAAGGTCTTCTCACCATCAATAAAGGCAACGGCTCCATAAACATCATACAGCCACTTCTGACTCCTACAGTTGAGCCAGCTTTATCACCACCTCCAGCACTGAACATGTCACCCTGGTAACAAAACGTGTTGACATAATCCAGGGATATGTCTCCACTGTTGAACATTTTCAACCATGCTAAGGCCACATGATAATCTGCACATTCTGCAGTCTGCCATTTATACTATCAGATTATTTTCAATACAGGTACCTTTCTTACTGGCATTACATGGCCATTTTCCAAGACAGGTCTTTCACCCATGCCATTACTCATTAGTTTTGCTTTTGCTATGTTCACTTTCATACACTTCGACTCCATTTCATCTTTTCATTTCTTAATTTTCTCCACAACCTCTTTAATATTATCTGCTAACTCTTTGGGCACATCTGTTATAATTTCTCTCAGTAGCTCCTCTTAACACCATGATAAACAGAAGGTGACTCAAGATAGACTCCGTGATGGACACCGACTTTCACCTCAAATTTAACATTTCCCTCGCCATTTACTCTCACAGAGGTTCTCAAGCCCTCAGACCATGTTAATCACTCAGAAAAAGAGACTCCCTCAACCCTTAACTTTTTCATTGCCTACTGTGTCAAATTACATCTCTTAAGTTTACAAATACAAATTACAGATTTTCCTCCTTTCCTAGATATTTGTATTGTAACTGCTTGGTCATAAACAATGCCTTAGTCCCCCTGCCCGGCATGAACCCAAAAATGTATTTCCTCAATGTCCACTCCATCTCATCAATTTCTATATCACTCTTTTTCACAACTTTCATAACCTGATCTAACAGCTTCAGGCCCCCATAGTTTCCATGTTCAAGTGCATAACCTTTTCCCTGGTAAGTATTCAGTCATGTTCTTCAGTCATTCAGCTAGAACAGTATGCATTCCATCATAATTGCATAAGTCAATTCAGTCATTGTTGTCATGCCAACATAGTCTGATGCTTTCAAAATTTCTGCAACTACAGCTCCTCCCCGACTTACGACCTACTCGACTTACGACCACTCGCACTTACAACCTGCCTCAGTCGTACCAAAATTGTCAAATTACGTATTTTCGAGTCCCAACGTCAGTACACAGAGAAAATTTTCATTTGTAATTCACTTTAAAATGGCTGGCAAGCTTAAAAGTGAGAGTTTTGTGGTGCTGAGAAGAAAAAGAGACCCATTTTAGATTTTCTATGTATTATTTAAGCATTTTCAACTTACGACCATTTCGACTTACAACCTGGATTTGGGTCCCTAACCCCGTCATATGTCGGGGAGGAGCTGTATTCCATTTTTTTTTTTTACGGGGTTTAGCACTCCTGGGCACAGGTCAATGACCCACATCAGAGCCTGGGGGCAAAAATATAATAATAATAATATTAATCAAGGACCATAAATAAATACAAAAACTAAAAAAAAAAGTGAGAAATGATATATGTACAGTATGTTGTGTTGTCTAAGTAAGAGAAACAGACCCTGCAATTGTGTGTAAATGAGGCAGAAAGTCTCAGCAGCAACCTGGGACTTGGTCACAATTTTTGTGATGCCATATGGCAGTAGGGTCTACCATTAGACAACACATTATGCTTCCAATATCTTCCCAGGTGGTAGTACCTCCCTGTTTGATAGCTGCCTACTCTTGATGTTTAAAAACCATTTTCAGGTGTTGGCTCACCACGTAGCGGCACATTGCGACGATCAGGTTCTCACGGACAAAAACCTCCTCCTCCTGTACGTCGAACACCATCAATCACCACTATCACAACAACAGTTCCTTCTGTCACCTCCTTGGCAGATCTCAACCCAGGTTCTCCAAGCACAAGTCTCAACAACTCGCCCACGCACCTGACTTCTTCCACTAGCACCCTTAGCGGTAGTAGCAGTGTGAATGGAAGTGTAATTACTGGTGGAAGTGCAAGCCCCAGTCAAGGAAGTAGTAATGGTAGCCCTTTACAACGAACAGACAGTGAGTCTAGTACTCCTGTAGGATCACTTGAAAATCTTCCCCCTCCTCCAGCTTTCTTGTTGGAAGATGGCACAGAAGAAGCTAATCCAACTCCTGACCCAGACCTAACTACTCCAGAAGGAGTAAGATTCATCTGTGATCCATTTGCTCCTCCAGCACCTATCCAAGACAAGTGTTTCCAACAGCGTACAATGACGGTGAGTGATACTGTGAAAACACTACAGGAGAGTCAGCATCAGCCTCCATCTCCAGTAAGTCACCGGAGATCACAGTCCTTGCGTTGCAACCAACCGGCACACAAGGCAGTCCAGTTGCTGGAAGAACGAAGGGTTTCCTTAGAAGATGCCAGAGCATCTTTAATGACAACATTAAATGCTAAACTTGCTTCCCAGATGAACAGTCAGCAACAGCAGCAATCTAAACAGACCCAGAAACAATATCATCAGCAAACTAGGGAAGGTAGCCAGTCGCCACGTATGAGTCGCGCTCGTCTAGGATCTGTGCAAGAAGGCACGGCTATGGATAGTCCTTTTCAGTCTCCAACGCATCATCCAGTGATTCCAACAAACAAACAAGGCCATATTTATTTAAACAAACATCAGCAATTGCCATACCAGACAACAATCTACCAACATTCAACATTTAGCCAGCCTAATTTACTTCAATTACAGCAACAGCCACTTCTGAAACAAATAAATGCTTGCGATGGCATGCACGGCAGTGTTTATCAGCCAGGTGTAGGAATTAACAAGGATCCAAATCAACAAGCATTTCTGCAGTCGTTAAATGAAAAACTTTCACAGAGGCAACAAGGAGTGGAAGTGGTTACTTCCCCAGGATCACCACAACTTCGTTCTCGGTCTAACTCTGGAGCAGCACCTCCACCCAACCCAAAACCTCATCCAAATGGAAGTGCTGCAGGAGCTCAGGTCCAGCGTTCAGGATCGGGTGCAAGTGAAAAGGCCTCAAAAGTACGGCAGTGGATTGCGAGCAAGACGTTGGGTTCTGAGAAAAAGAGCAGTGCCGATTCAGCCGCTCTCCGGGAGTCGCTGCTAGATCAGATCAAACGTGGAACAACGTTGAGGAGAGCCAAACATGTGGCTGACCGATCAGCACCAAAAGTTTCTTGACTTAATATACCCTAGCTTGTTAGAAGATTTGAAAGGCTTCATTATCAAAGAAAGAAGGAGGCTCTTGAATCTGTGCGAGTTTTGTCCAAAAAGCTTCTTGTTGTATTGTCTGGTACATATATATAGGTGCAAGATCTTGAAAAATATTTACTTGTATCTCTACACTTATAACCATAACTTATTGGAATGTATCATTGTAAAAATGAAGTTGCTTTAGTTTTTTGGATGATAAATTGTGTTTTATAGGCCTCAATGTTGTAAAGGCATGTACCACTTACCTATAACCTTTAAAAATAATTCTTAGAATCTCGCTGTAAATCAGAATCAGTATTGTTTAAATACTTAATGAAATGTTATAATATATATTGAACTAGGATATTGATTTGTGTAACATAAGATGGTGGTACAAAAATTCTGTACCTTGATAATGGAAGTACTTTTTATTTTATGGAAAATCCCATGAGCTACATAGGATCCACAAATGAGCTGTAAATGTTCACGTTGAGAACAATGTATATATTTATAGTTGCTAGTTGTCAGTCTTGGCCACATTCCCGGGGCATGGATATACAGTACATTATTCAAAGCCCATTACACTTCTCAAGCACATTGAGGAAATGAGCTTTATACCTACACTGCTGACCATTGAATGTCACATGTTATACACTCTTTATTACATACTTTTCTTCCTTTATGACTGAGTGGTTTAGTTTGGAATGTTACAGACCAAAAGAGTGAGTGAGAAGGATATGATTTTCTGGTCATTTTTTTATAATCTAAATCTGATGATTATAAGTTAAATCTTGATTTATAGAATACTACCTGTATATTGGAGATCCTAGCTCTAAATTAGTTCTACTTTGATGACGAGCAGACAATTGTGCTGTAAACCATCCTTGCTGTGTTGTCTGTTGTGTTAACTCAGGATGCAACATTCCTCATTAACCTTACTTTATCTTTCTTTAGTACTGACGACTGAGTTTTTTTTTATATATATATATAAATATCACTAGAAATTATTTAGATGAACCTTACCTTAAAGAGAGCTACATTAGGTGTGAGGTTTCTGTGACAAAATGAATTTATTTGTTTTTATTCAATATTTTCTGAGTCCAGTCCAATAGTCTCAAGAGTTTACCTTTATTTAAGTGCACTGGAGCAGTGACTGCTGTATATTGAGTAGCTTTAGAATTTTATTTGTTCTGCCAGTGACACGAATAACTTTATTTTAGAATAATAATACTGTACTGTAATATATTCATGTACAGTACTTTAAATATAGTTTGGCAGATGAGGATATTGATAGGAATAAAAGAAAAAGAAAAAAAAGACATTTATGTTTTACAAATACTGTAAGTGTAAGGATTGTTTCAGTCTGGAAAGGTTTGTCTAAACTGTGCAAGCAACAATTGTGCTATGAAGAGTATTGTTGAAAGATGTGGAACAGTAAATATGACCAGTAATCTTTAACATGTAAGTAACTCGTATCAACCTGTTACCAGTGACTGAACTTCTTCATAAATCTGTTTGCAATTATTACTGCTTTGTTTGGTTCTGTTCAAGCCTATAATGTTTATTTACATGTTTGCAATGTTTGATCATAATATAAACATCCGATATTTAATATTAAGATGTAAAATAGATTCTAAATTGTAACTCTAGTCACTCAACAGTTGGAATAAAAGTGAAATAGAAGATTAAAAATTTAATTGTAAGATATTGTGCATGGAAGCTCCACTTTATTTCATTGTAAATATCAGAGGACATATCATATTACAAAACTTAATGAAAACTATTATTGTATGTATTAATATGAGAATAATTATAAAAGTATCTGTAATCATGATCTTCAATATGACTAGCAGTATTTGAACCATTATTTAAAAGTTGTCACTACATGACATGGACAACCATATCAAAGACCAGATGAAAATTACCACTGAGATAAGATCAACGTGCAAATACTGTACAGTATGCCATTTCTCCACAGCTCCATAGTGTGTAGTGCTATGGCATTAAGTTTGTTTGGAGTCGCAAGGGTCAGTTTCTCTTCTCCTGAAGCATCACATTAACAATTACATTCAAGGGCCACTGTTGTGACAATTATTTTTATGTAGATTTTTGTAAAGGATAATAAGTGAGCATTACTCACTGCTGAAGCTTTAAGAAACTTGTTTTCATATAAAATGAAAATGAACTATTGAAGCAACTTGTCAGTTCACACTTGGGTATTGTCATAAATGATAGCTATCATCATAGCAAATGTCAGGTGTGTTAGTGCCTTTCCTTTTGTAGAAGTTCATTGCGTCCATGGAAATCAAACGCACTAAATTCTCCATTAACTGGACTTCTTTTAACAGGAAATCTCCAATAACTGGATTTAGGAGAACCACAAGAGATACTCTTACAGAATTTTTGAGAACATTCTCCACAAGGGTCTACTTAATAGTACTGTACTCGTGTATATTGTAAGAAGGCTCATTGGTCCCCATTTCCTAATATGAACCATTTTTATGTACGTAATGTGAAAATTGAGCTCTAAAGCTTAGGGTGTCAATATGTTTGGGGCTCAATGGGCCATTGCAAATGGAACAATGTTCATTTTCCATAAAAATCAGGATTCATTAGAATATGGGGCCCATTTAAACTCCACATCCTACATGGATCCGATGATACTGGGTTTTACTTGAACATTGGCCCAAGAAACCCCATACTAATAGAACAGTACGGTTATGGTTCAAACTTAATTTTCCTTGAACATTTGGTTATATTTGGACATGAGAACCAGTGCACCACACATCTTAACGAGACCTACATTTTTTTCAATTTTTTAACAGAAGCATAATTGATATACAGAATATTGCACAAGTGATCAGAAAAAAATCCAGTTAAGGGAGAATTTTGCTTGGTTAAGGGAACATTCACTAGTAAGCAGAATTCTCTTTTAACCAGACTGGCTGCTCACCAGTTAAGGGAGAGTTTAGTGTTCTATTTGCCCAACATTTCAGTCAGATAAATTTAATTATCTTGTAGAGAGTGTTAAAACTGTTACTTTGTTCTCAGTATAGTTCATAATTGCAGACAAGTATGACATACAAAACTCAAACCAAACTCATTTTGTCAAATATCATTTTCAACTACAGTGCAGTAATCCCCTCCATTTATACCTGTGGACTCTACTCGTAACTTACACAAGATAAGTAATGCTCTGTATTCCTATTGGTACTGAACTCACAGTAATGGTATCACACACATGATAAGATTATCTTCAGGAACACTTAACAGTTTTGGTGTTGTTTGGTCTAACACTGGATCCTATCTCTAATTTAGAAATATAAAGTGGTAAATAGATATGATAAAGAAAATGGTAAATGGGTGTAACAGTAACATTTGAGTTTAATTCTGCTGTAGCAGGGAGCACTTGTGTGGTAATTCCACACGTTAGCCAATATCTGCCGGCACATACCTGAAAGCCTAGTATGGCTCCCATCGATGAGCTCGCTTTACACCTATGAACGTCATATATACGTAGATTGATTGCTACTTTCTTATTGGTAGGATTAAACTTTCTTTTATATGACAATAATTAGTTTTTGATGGAAGATTTTTCTGCCACATGTTTTGTGTATAAATCTGTCATAGGTAATTATTAACCCAAATAAAGAATAAAAATAATATATTATTTTTTACCTGTAAACAGCTAGTTATAATTTATAAGAAATATTCCGTTTTTTGTATGTGTAAAGTGATTAGTAATTGAGGGATTGATCCTGAAATGATGTTTTGTGATTAAGAGGTGAGTGGATGGTCTATGTATATTTGCAGTTTCTAATTCCATGACACTGCCACTGTATCATAAATCATAACAGCTGTAATGTGATTGTAGTTATCTTTCCAACACATTTGGATCTGTTAACTTTAAAAAAAATTTTTTTACCAAATGTTATGGATGGTCCCATTCAAAGAAGAAAGATTATTAGACCATGAATATTTCCCCTGAAAAAGCCATTCACTTCCATAGTAGCCAGTTCTTGCTGCTCCTATTGCATCTCAAACCCAGGGAGGTAGACCTGCTGATGTCTGATTATAATGGAGGACTGAAGCAATTGAGTTGAGAGAAACTAACCACTAAAGCACCCTCGAGAGAGGGTCCACAATTCAATGGTAGGTACAGTCAGCCAAAGATGCACCGACCCCACCCCGGGTCTCGTGCTCGCAATTTTACCTGGCAATACTTGAAGGAAGGAAGGCTGTATGTAATACAGATTGCGATTGGTGGATTTATTTTCGGATGTGTCGCTGTCAAGATAAATATTAAACAATCCAAAAGTAGCATTTTTTACAATAATCAATTATTCATCGTTATTTAAGATCATGACGTTTCCAAATATTCGTATATTTGCTTAAAAAATGAAGAAATTATATAAATGAATTGGCAAAGCAGTTATAACCAGGGCTGCCATGAGATTCTCATCAAATTTCAAGAATATACAGTATGTTCCACATTTAATCTTGAGTGTTTCATGAAGGAATTAATTGTCTTTACAACGTGAGCATTACATAATATATTTTGAAGCAAGTTAGAGAGCAAACGCTGTAATACACTCATTTGTCAGTCACGACATTGTATCTTCGTATATTATAGTTCTCAGTCAGTGTGTGTGTAAATAAATTACATTAGTAATTATGGCAATTATAACACGAATTATATGTGAAATGTGTGTTATTGGGAAAATTAAGTATCCAAGTGGCAGCTCATGTATGGAGTTTAATATCTGGTTCCCTTTGTCGAACTAAAAATCGGCAATTGTTCGGCAAAAGACTGTACTCATCATTAGGTAACAACATTTTCAATAGTTATCTATCTAATTTATGACGTCAGCATCAGGTTTTACGCCTACCAATCACATATCACTTGGCATGGTCTAATCAACCAATAAGAGCTTGACCAAAGTGTTGTTGTGAATACGGGATCAACAGTAGGTATTACTTCTGTCACCACTAACACGACGCAACAGCGCTTAACTACTCGCGGCCAAATAATCGCCCTCCGAGAAGAAGGCCTTATTTGCCATCGCAGGACGACTTGCTGTTTCGACTTCAACTGTGAAGAGGTGGATCAGGAGATATGCCGATACAGGTATTTTAACTGATTTGACTATGTATGAAATTTTCAGATTGAACCGGGATATAAACAATATCTAAGATATTTATTTTTATATAAATGATATAATAATGCAAATTTTATAATGTAAATGTTATGTTTTTTTGTTAAAGGTTATGAGTGTATGCCATAGCATTAATGGCATACCAAGTTATGACACAGGAGATCAAAAAACACTATTGTGTCTATTTTCAGAAAGAAGACCACGCCCCCGACTGACTACTAGGGATGAGGATGCCGCCATCAGAGAGGCGTTACACTTAGACATCTGTGCACAGACTGTCAGGTCACATTTGCATGAGGCGGTCATACAAAACAGAGTCCCTGCAATAAAGGAACGGCTAACTTACCAACACCGCAATGGTCGCCTCCAGTTTGCCCAGCAATATGTGGGGGAAGACCTGGAGTTTTGGTCGCGAGTAGTCTTCACAGATGAGAAGACTTTTGCCAGTACTAACCACGGTAAAATTCATTTGTGGCGGCCAAATCGCATGAGGTAAGTGAACTTAACATATTAACAAGTCCGTAATGATTAAAATAAGATTTAGACCATATTTGTCGATATAGCCGTAAGACATTGAACAGCTCATTATACATTTTCAAATAAAAGTCTTCAAGATTATTGCATAATATTAAAAAAAAAAAATCCAAGTATTATACTACAAACTTAACATAAGATGTATATTTGTTTCGTATTTTCCCTTCCTGCAGATACAACAGGGCCCACATATACGAGGTGGCTAGAAGTGGGCATGTGACGCTGAACATGTGGGGCTACATATCCCAGCACGGTATGGGAGATATTTTCCTAATTCCTGGGAGGTTTACGGCAAATAAATGCCATACATCGTGCGGAATCAGTTCCTCCCTTCAATTTAGGAATGCAATTTCCTATTCCCTGTTGGACCAATTACCCGGTACTTTTATTCATGATAGATGCCCCATCCACACTGCCAGAGCAGTGAGTCAGTGTTTGACGGGCAGCAACACTTCAGGCTCTTGGAATTGCCGAGCAAAGGAGCGACATGAATCCCATTGAAAATATCTGGGCAAATCTAGTCAATTCCTGGGAGCCCGAGTTTGAGAGGAAGCCGAACCAACTGTTCTACCACGTGACAAGGCAGTGAGAGATTTATAGAAACAAACCTGAGCTTGTTACAAATAACGTATCTTCTATGCAGCGGAGGCTGCAAGCTGTAATTGATAAGGAGGGTGAATGGACCGGTTATTAAACAATATACTGTAAATAATACACCTGTCTGTATTTTAATCCTCGAAAGAAAGAAATGTATTATAAACCTTAAATTTAAATTATGCAATGAAAATAAAGCCATTTGCAATATGATTAAAAAATAAATACAGAAAGTTGGAACAAAAAACCTCCCCCAGGGTGGGGTCGGTGCATCTTTGGCTGACTGTACAGTCCACTGTCTAGTGACAATAAGTTGGATGATGTTACTAATATCCTTCTCACCAATTTATTTCAGGGTTAAATTTACACTGTACCCAATTTGGATCATTATAATTTGGAATTTGGCTGAATTCGTATGTTTTTTAAAAAATTCATAAAAATTTGATTTAAGAATGAATCTAAAATAACCGAGCGGTTCCGAAGTCAAATTATTACTGTAGAAATATATTATGAAATAAATTAAGAGGAGTGAATTATAGGATTACAGTCGAATATGAATTATATTAAGAGTATAGTAGGGTCAGGATATATAGCGACTTTATATAATGATTTTTTTATATCGGGGCTACCAAAATTATCGACCTTTTTCCTATATACAGTTGTACCCCACTTAACGCGGTCAATAGAACCCAGAGGGTCCCGTGTTAAGTGAACAACAGAACATATGGGATTAATTCCAATAGAAACCAGCCCGACCCCCCAAACGCCACTTTTTGAAGACGCATAACTATGTTGTAGTAAAAATAACATCTTAATTTTATGATGGTACATGCACACAATTAATACTTAAGAGAAATAGAGAAATACAGTCGCCAAGTTAATGTCCATTCAAATAATGGACACAACTCCCTCCCCCTCTCACACTACACTCGCTGGCTCTTCCCTCTGAGAAATTTTGGGGGGAAAACCAGGTATAGTAATAAATAATTCCTCAAACTAAAGTTAGGATAATATAATTGACATTGCTGGATTCCTTGTAAGACCAGGAATATTTTGAATACAAATGTCATATATTTTTCACAAAAGATAACATATTTACTCAGAATAAACTTTACATCTAAAATTTGTATGTCTAATGCAAAATCTATGATGTTTATATTCAAAATGATCACCAAATTGTAAGAATTCCAGCAATGTAAATTATATTCTGGCCGGATAATTTGTATGAATTTTATGAGCTAAAACAAATATCTTCAGTTAATAAAAAAAAAAAATATTCTTCACGACACTATCTGTCAATCAAAGTACCCCACCTTGCCTTCCCCCCCTCTTCCAACCGCGCGGTCAGTCCCAACCCTCCCCCCACCCCCCACCAATCCTCCCTTCAAGAGTTTTTAACATTTAGTATTAAATAATACCTCAGATTAAAGTTAGGATAATATAATTGACATTGCTGGATTCCTTGTAAGACCAGGAATATTTTGAATATAAATGTCATATATTTTTCACAAAAGATAACATATTTACTCAGAATAAACTTTACATCTAAAATTTGTATGTCTTATGCAAAATCTATGATGTTTATATTCAAAATGATCACCAAATTGTAAGAATTCCAGCAATGTAAATTATATTCTGACCGGGTAATTTGTATGAATTTTATGAGCTAAAACAAATATCTTCAGTTAATAAAAAAAAAAAATATTCTTCACTGTAACAGATGGTCGGTCGGTCCCTCCCTCTCCCCCACCCCCCCACCAACTGTCTCACCAGATGTGTGGGAAAACCAGAATATTTACCTTTCAGTAATAAATAATACCTCAAACTAAAGTTAGGATAACATAATTGACATTGCTGGATTCCTTGTAAGACCAGGAATATTTTGAATATAAATGTCATATATTTTTCACAAAAGATAACATATTTACTCAGAATAAACTTTACATCTAAAATTTGTATGTCTAATGCAAAATCTATGATGTTTATATTCAAAATGATCACCAAATTATAAGAATTCCAGCAATGTAAATTATATTCTGGCTGGGTAATTTGTATGAATTTTATGAGCTAAAACAGGCAGTCAGGCAGGGTGGCGGGTGGGGCGAATCTAAACATAGCTCTCGAGCCGGACACTCACCGCTTATATGTGGAAAAAACCCGCGTTAAGTGAAAGTTCAGCTCTGGCGAGGCACCGCGTATATGGTAAAACGCGCTAAGTGAAACCACGTTAGGCGGGGTAATACTGTACTAAAGTGATAATTTTTTTTGTTTTTTCGCAAGGGAAATCTGGCAGGAAATATTTCAAATTTATCACTCCTACCAATACTATCAAAATTTTTCAGTATACTGTACAGCCACTCTTCGACTTACGACCTATCCGACTTAAGACCACCCGGACATACGACTGCCCCAGTCATACCAAAAAATTTTCAAATCACGTATTTTCGAGTCCCGACGTTAGTGATTGCACTGTGTACAAACAAAATTTTTGTTTGTAATTACATTTAAAATGGCTGGCATGCTTAAAAGTGAGAGTTTTGTGGTGCTGAGAAGAAAAAGAGACAGCCATTTTAGATTTTCTATGTACTGTATTTTCGCATTTTCGACTTACGACCAATTTGACTTACAACCTGGAATTGGGTCCCTAACCTCGTCGTAAGTCGGGGAAAGACTGTGTAGCGATAAATTTATTTACAGTGACTCACAACTTACATGGGGTTATGTTCCTGGGACCTCACAGAAAGCCAAAAACCATAGAAAGTCTGAAACACTCCTAAAAATCCCCTAAATAGCCCCAAAAATCTGAGTTGAATTTTTTTTTAGCTCGTGCAAAATTTATGATGTACTGTATACGTATATTAAATTATTCGCTGTCTTGCAAGGATTCCAGCAATGCAATTTATATTCTGCTAACTTTAGTCTGTTACATTTTATAAGATAAAAACTTTAAGCATAAAACTACTTTCAAACTGACAGCCCCTTAGGGACAGTCAGATTACAGCCCATGGAGGCAGTGGTACTACACTCAACTGTCATTTATTTTGTTCCTGAGCTGGGTGGACTGTAGGCAACTTCTGAATCCACTCCACTGCCATACACCAACAAGTCATATCACCCTAAAACTACAGGTGGTACCTCTCTAGTCCGGCATTCTGTGGTCCGGAAACTCCCGTGGTCCGGAACGATTTTAGTTTGTCCAATAGGTAGATAGGCAGCTTTTTATCTGAATTATTATTATTATTACAGGAGTATTAAATTTTTGCCCCTCAGGCCCCAATGTGGGTCAGTGACCTATGCCCGGGTGGGCTAATCCCCATAAAAAAAAACAACAACAACAAAGCCGCGGGAAATTAAGGTTTTGTTTACATCCGGCAGTTCGGCTGCTCTCTCTCTGCTTGTCTATACAGACTACAACATTTAACCCTTCAATATATATGAGCAGTAAATAAGTGTTGCTTTCATGTTCTTATGTAATGACGATATGTTTTCACATGTGTGCACTTACATACTTTTTTTTATCATTAATGGTTGGCTACTTGTATTGTTCCATTTATTAACATTACAGGTACTTCAAACAACCATATTAATTTTTTTACATTAATTTTACTACAGCAATCAGGGTCTTATTTTCTTCAGTTTTATATGTACTGTAGAACCAATCAGTCACTGGTTTTGTAAGCTTTAACAAAAACAATGCCGGCAGCCGTCTCGTCTCTCGTGTGTTTTAATATTCCACGTATTATTAATAAATTGTATTGTTAATTTTGCACACACAAACATTAATTCAATAAAAACAAATTCAGAACATTAATTAAAATATATATGAACAGTAAATAAGTGTTACTTTCATATTCTTATGTAAAGTAAAGACGATATGTTTTCACGTGTGCGCACTTACATACAGGTAGTTCTGCTATAACGCGATAATTGTGTTCTTGTAAAATATCGTGTTATAGAAAATCGCGTAATAGAAATAACAGGGCTTATGGAGAAAATAGGGTAAGGTGCAGATTACTCGAAATCGAAAACATTTAGTAGTTAGCCTAACACAAAGGATAGCACAGTCTAAATAAATGTTACATTCATATCTAATAATGAAATCATACAGTAAATGTAACACTTTACTTGATGGGGGAGAAGGGTGATTTTGAGGTTGATAAAATCGAGCTTCTCTTCAAGTGTTATATCCTTTCTTTTACGATCATCACCGGGAATTCTATCACCAGAACGCTTTTTGTTGATATTCTTCTTTACTATATTCACAGTTAATACAGTACCACAAAATTGGAGAAATAGTAAGCAAAAATCGCGTTATAGCAAACAAGCTTTCGCGTTATACAAATATCGTTCCTAATTCATAAATCGCGTTAGAGCAAATTCGCGTTATCAAAACGCGTTATAGCAGAACTCACTAGCAGAACTCACTGTACGCGATCTCTCTTTTTTCTTTACCATTATCGTTAGCTACTTCTATTGTTCCATTTATTAACATTAAATAACATTACTTAAAACAACCATATTAATTTTACTACAGCTGCAACCAAGGTCTTATTTTCTTCAGTTTTATATGTAGAACCAGTCAGTCACTGGTTTTGTAATCAACGAAAACAATGCTGTCTCATTTCCTTGTGTTTTAATATTCTACGTATTATTAATGAATTGTATTGCTCATTTTGCACACAAACATCAATTCAATCAAAAAGACTTTCAGTAATAAACAATAATTAATCTTTTGTACATAAGAGAAATGACGCTGTTTACAGATTGTGCCCGTCGTCTGAATGTTGGTGGGCCGTTCAAACCCGTCGAAATTCGAGTTTCCGCTGTCAGAATTTTTAAATGTGTTGTTTTTTTTGTGTTCAAATAGAAAACGTTGAATTAAAAACTCGCGAAATTTGAGAAGCTACTGTACGACATTTAACCCTTCAATATGTCTTCAAAGAGACCATGAAGCAGAGAAAGTGGTGCAAGTGCTTCCAAGCCAAGTCACTATCTATCCAGGAAAAGGGTGAATTTCCATGGTCCGGCACCGGTCAGGTCCCGAGGTTGCCGGACTAGAAAGGTACAACCTGTATAAGAAATGATATGAAAGGCAGATGCTTTCAACTTAATGCAGTGTTGCACAGCAACCTTGTCAACTTCAACTTTACCTTGTTTACTGTATACTATAGACAGGCAAGGGGAGATTCAACAAAAGTTTAAGGGATCTCCAAGTACATTACTCAATTTAGTGTTCATATCTGAAGGTAGCATATGCCTGCTCCACTAAAGGTCACAGCATCAAGTTAAAGAAGCCACAAATACAGGAAATTGTCAGAGCTAACATCTTTGGAGTAAGAATTGTGAACTCTTGTAATACCTAACAGTGTTGTGACAGTACAGGTACTGAGTGTGAGCTCATTTAAGACTCGACCTGACTAACACTGGTATGTGTTCAGGTGTATTCAAGAGCCATGGTAGGTGTTCAAGTGTGTTCAAGAGCCAGTATATGCACAGTGGAATTTGCCTAACGTAAGTTGCAAAAGGGTGTTAAAACCTAACTAACATCAAGACTAATGTCAATGAGATCTGTTAGCTATGGGACAGGATTAGTATTAGAGAGGGGACTGAAGTTAGCTCAATTGTAAGAGTAAGAAATAGCTGAAGTTGCTGCCTTTTTATTTTTCAGGGATTAGCCCACCCGGGCACAGGTCAATGACCCACATTAGGGCCTGGGGGACGATTATGATAATGACAATGATGATGATGATAATTAATAAAAAGAAAAAAATATACATACAATTTATAATTATAATACTGTAATAATAAGTATAATAAAAAATATAAAAAAAAGAAAAAAATATCAAGAGTGAGTTACAATATACTTATGTTGTGTTGTCAAAGTAAGAGAAACATTTGAAACCCTGCAATTGTGTGTAAATGAGGCAAAGTCATATCAGCAACCTGATTTAGTCACAGTATTTGCGATGCCATATGGCAGCAGGGTCTACCATTAGACAACACTTATGCTTCCAATATCCTCCCAGGCAGTAGTACCTCCCTATTTGCCCGATTCTGGCGTTTAGCTACAATAAAATACCTGTACGGTGTGCATTTTTTTCTTAGTTACCTTTTTACATGTAATTCTCCAGATTTATCACGTATTTACTGACTTTTTAACTACCGTACTTTTTTTAGGTGAATTGCAAATATAGAGGTACTGTACTTACAAATAAGAATTGGGAACCCAGAGCTGCATTGCTAATATACATCCAGCAGCTATAGTGAGTACTGTACACATTTTAGATCTCAGTTTTGTGTTGCAGGTTTGGGGTGAGTTCCATTTCAAAATAATCAACTCGTCAAGTAAAGTGAAATTCCAATTCAGTACTTGAACATTTGTAATTTATTGTATATTTCCCATTTAAAGGTGAGAGAGAATTTTTGGATTTATAAATGAATCAATTTTAAATCTTTAAGTAAAAACCATTTCCTCATTTCAGTAAACCCAACACTGTTGTACTGTATAGGTTATGATTTTCACATTGGATCTGAAGAATTACTGCCATGCACAGTGTCCTCATTTTTGGGGTTATGGAAGTGGCCATCCTAGTCACAGCTAATGTTCCTGGGCTATAGTGTATAAAAGTATATATTAATATCTGGTGGGTTTCTATTAAAAATATTAAAAAATTTTAGCCAGATGTGCTGAAAGGAAATATAAGTGTGTTTAACTAACATAATTTGTGTGTGTTAACATAATTTGTGTGTGTAGCAGCATCAGTGTTATTTGGCTTTCTTGTGTAAACATTGCCTCCCAGATTGTGTGTTTTATCCACAATATCATTGGTACATTACCATCACTATGGGTCTAAAGTGTGTTACATGCACAGTGAGCCTGACATAAAGAAATAAAATTAGGCAGGCAAAGGCAACCTTTCCTCAGTCATGGACCACATTACAATTTAGATATTTTTCTGTGGGCTAACCCAGCGAAATTTATATAATACCTAACCCAAAACGGGCGGATCAAAGCATCTCAAAGGGTGGAGGGGGGGTAAAGAAATGGAACATGGAGAAGCCACCCATTTTGGGGGCCACTGTAAAGCACCACCCTCCTAATTTTTTTTTTTAAATCTGACCAATTTCATCGGCATTTTGAGGCCACTTTGAAGTCATGTGCACTTGATATTAAGCGATATTCTGAGGTCAATAGTAATTACTTTTTACTATACAAGAATGCTTGAGTACAATACTACTGTACTACATTAAAGAAAAAGTATTGACATTTTCTGATGAAATGTGGGGTTTCAGACCCCAAGGACCCCCCTGGATCTGCCCCTGCCAAAGTAATGTTAATACTGTATTAGCACAGATAGTGAAACAGTTTATCATCACATGCACCTTACGATATTTTAAGTTTGTAATCACAGTCTTTTTCCATCATAATTTTTTTTAGTAAAATGTTAATGTTTCTTGGCATTTAACAGAAGACGAATGAAGTAATCTGTGAGTGAATATGTTGATTTTTCCTACAGTTAAATAATATTTATTATAAGACACCCACCACAATACAGTAATGTCAATGTTAATCTTGGCACATGAAGAACTACAATGAAACAACCTATAGGCACATCTATTTATTTTACAATATATACGTATATATATACTATATATTCACACAGTATATGCCCATGGAGAGACCTAATTATACAAGAATAAATAGATAGAACAGAGAGCCAGGCATGAAGGATGAGGTACTATGGAGAGAGAGAATTTGTCAACAAGGAAGAGACCTTTGACCCGTGTGACCACCACCTGTGACCCCACTTAGACTTACCCAACCTTAGTTAATTCCCAAGTGACCCACTGCCACATAGCAGTTAATCCATCAAACAGATCGTGCCGAACGTGGCCCGCAAACTCACACAAGTTAAAATTTTTATATTGTTGACTATATGTACTTATTTCACTGTTACATTTTCAAAGTTACTTACTCTTAGGTGATGAAACAGTAATGAATTGTGTGTGAATATTATTCTTTAAATAAATATTGCTTTACTCACCATAAACTGGTTACATTTATCTGAACCCCGGGCCACATTAAATAGAATTTCTCAATCAATTCGCAGGCTGCGGGTTGCCCATGCCTAAGATTAGGTATTGCTTAATTTACAAAAACTACATAGTGTTGATTTAATGACTTGTCTATTCTTTGTTTGGAAGTCATAAGGTACAGTGGCATCAAATTGGAAACTAACTCGACCTTATAACATTATTTGATATGACAGAAGTTTCCCCTTCTTATTATTAAATGAATAATGTTAGCGACCAATAGGAACATCCCCCCCATATTTATATTATTAATCAAGTCTGTTTTTGTCTCTGTTTTTTAATGCCTAACTCCAATAAATAAGGGGGACCACCTGTACCTCTACTCTCTCATTCTGATTGACAGTTGCCATAGCCCAGGAGTTAACTGGGAAACACCTAAGTGCACAAGTTTAGCTCACAATAAATTGGTGTCATATAAAATTCTGTTTAATAACTATGCATCACTAAACTAACTAAACCTAAATATCCTCAACAATTTCAACTTAAACAATTCTCATTGTTTCAAGGAGGTGAGGGTCATAGGTGAGACCTGGTTCAGAAAACTGGAACATTCACAAGTCTGGCAGGCTCTCATTACCAATATTTGTATGTACTGTAGTATTTAATAAAAATACTTAATACTATAAGATACAGACTGAAAACTTGACATAAGTGCACCAGTTAGGATATAAACATTTAAAACAGGTACTATGACAGTAGAATATAAACAAACTCATCACCACAATGCATGGCTGGTATAACTTACACCTAATTTCACTGGACATTTCTTTATCTTGATTTCAACCGGCTGATCTCCTTATCTTTGATTAGAGTATCTGCAGATTTTTCTGTGAGCTGAAAAAAATGAAGTACTGTACAGTATAGTACTTTTCACAATGGTTCCTGAAACCACGACAGTACTATTTTCCTCCAGACTCAAGAAGGTGGGTATTCTGAAATATATTGATCACTTATAGCAACATATTATCCATCAGGATATTTTCCCCTGCTGTAAAGCACTGACAAGCTTTTACCTATAAGATACTTGACAGTGATATGTCTTACTGATCTTTTAGGCCATAAAATGTTGAGACTCAAACTTTATTATTCTTTACAATTTAGAAGCTAATAAAACATAATAAAAATCTCACCATATCAAGCAGAAGCTCCACCTTGAGTTTCAACAAGTTGTTTTCCTCTAGCAGAGTCTGGTTCTCTTGACGAAGTCGTGCGACCTCACGGCTACTTACACGACCTTTTGATCCCCCTTCTGAAATACAGGGTGTGCCATAAACACCTGATGGTTTTTTAAATATAAAAACCAGCCTACCCACTAGGTGGCACTTCCATACTAATGGTCATCACGCACAGCAGTGTTTGAAGTTTAGTTGGACATGGGAAAGTATCTAAATGTGTTAATAAATCTTTCTAGTTTGCATTGTAATGTTATTTCGTTTAAAAAACTGCCAGGTGTTTAAGGCGCACCCTGTATTATTGATTTAAATGCAAAACAATGAAGTTTATCATGTTAACACATTAGTGGAATGATGAATATTTTGTCATCCATAAAACTCAGGTTAACGTTCCGATGACGAAAATATCGTTTTCGAATTCAAAACCTCGCCAAAAATCTATTTATCACTTGATTTTCGTGGTTCAAGTCTCAAAAGGCACACCATTGTCTTCCCTTTCTCACCACACAACTGTGGTGGATGTGAGGTGTTGGAATAACTGACCTGTGAGCTTGCAAGCATCAGTGTGTCCTAAGGATTTACAGCACACTGACGCTACTCGCTTTTTTGTGATATTCACTTGTATTTTTGTATGCTGGTGTTAGATACAACTTCATTTGTATAATAGTCTTGTAGAGCAATCATTTGTTAAGAAATATACATATGAAGAATGAAATTCGATGGAAAATATCAGAAAAAATGCAAGCATTTACGCTACAATTGTCGCCAGCTGAGCACGCCCTGCCCACCTTGGGTGGTGGTGGCATGCGCCCGGTGGTGTTAATCATGCTGTACAGTATATTAAAATTGAAGGATTGAAATAAGAATTCCTATTTTATTAGAGGGGAAAATTCATACCACTAAAAGGCAGAGTTTTCCTTCATCAGAGAACTGTGACAAGATTAGCATCTAAATAAACCATTGGTTTTCTTTGGAAGAAGTTTGGCTTCAAGTAAGGAATGAAGTGAAGCAAACCACCATGACTGGAGTGTGGAGGATTCTGTGGAAGGAATGTGTTCACAATTTCTAGGGGTTTGTAAACCTGTCCTCAGAAGTGGCAGGATTAAGTCATTCTAGGCCAAAATGTTGGGTTTGTGGATTTGGAGGAAAAAAACAAAGGTGGAGCTTCTTGAATCCCATAGAGAAGAAATGGATTTGTTGGAAGTAACAAAGAAGAAGAACCAGGAAGTGGAAGAGGAAGAAATTGCCGTGGGACCACATCAGCCGACAACCACGAAACTGGCTACCTTTTTCACAATCGCTGATCAACTGGCCCAGGCAGCAGTAGATATGGACCCACACCTGGAGTGAAGTTTCAAGTTTGGGAGGGCATTAATAGCTACTTTGGCTACCTACAAGGTGATCTACAAGGAGAAACAGCATGCAATGAAACAGACTACCTTAGCACAATATTTTAGGATCTCTTCCCTTAAAGTGCCTCCAGTATATCCTTTTCTGCTAGCATAGATATCCAAATGCCTACTCCCTACTGCACTAGTACACCTGCAAGTGCAATGACTAGTGTGCCTGGTAACCCGGATGAGTCACCCTTCTTTCCACTTGACATGACTCTGCCAGTTCATGACCTTGATGATCCCCACACCATCAGCCTTTACTGGTGAGTACTCATTTATACTGCATATTTTTATTAAAATATATTTATATTTAATCATATTAATGGTTGTTTATGTATTGCTTGTGTGTGCTATGTCAGTTAGTGAGAGAATGGTTAGGTATTGGGGTCTTGGGACCGGGTTGGGGACCTATCCCCCCCTTTGTATGAGGTTCACTTTGAATGCCATTGTTTGGGAACACGTCCCTCATTTAAAGCGAGGGAATACTTTACATTAGTCCCCGAGTGCTGGATTAATTAAGCCACAGTGATATCGTTAGTGAGACTGAAACCGTTATTCGGATGTGTTTATCAGTAGGAAGGCAAACTGTTCAAAACAACAGCCAGCCTATTACACTAACACAGCTTGGTTTATTATGTTCATTATAATTTAGTTCAGTAAAATAATCTACTTGTGATAAACTCTCTGTAAGTTCAGTTGTTTTATATTTAAGAATCTTTTTTGCAGCTCTGAAAGCTTCTAGAATCTTGAACCTTAGCTATATCTATTTTTTTTATCATATTCGCCACTTATCAGCTTACTAGGCGTTTGGGCTGCTTTCTAGTCTGTGTATCCAAACATGATGCATAAAAAGTTTTAAAATGTCTCATATAATGTAACAATAATCATAATACGTAATAAAAGTGCCCTACAAGTGCTAAGTTTCCACCACATCAAAATAGTGTCAGTCACCATTCACATGACTGAACGATAATGCCATTGTTATTTGTAAGTAACCACAGAATTTGCAGAAAATCATCTCAATGTGCCAGTGTACCTTATGACTAAAGAAAATACTATATAGAGGAATACTGTATTGCCTGCTTTACACAATGTTGATAACAATAATACAAGTTACTATATTTTACACTAAGAAAGTCAAGGAAATCAGACATTTCACATAAACCACATTCCAGTGAGGTTAAAGGAGATGGAAGGTTCACAGTGATCACTGGAAGTGTTAAGACCAACAAAATTTTAACAATGACTTCATAGTTTTCATTCTGATATTTTACTTACCTGACACCCATTCTCCATCTTCAAATGTTGCATTTTGTCCACCAATGTTTAGCCTAATCTTGCTGAAATCATGAGACAGATCTTGGCCAACCTTGTCAGATTCTCTTCTTAGACTTGAAAGTGACACCGATCTTCTGGGAGGAGATTTCCCTGGTGAGAAACTGCGGCTTAACAGATTTAAGGGCATGTTGACAGTTCTTCTGACTTATAAGATGTTTTTGAGTTATAACCACATCATTAGGCTCCTCCAATCTGCAACAGATAATCAATTATTCAAATTAATAAATTCTGGTAAATATTCGTTTAATGACTGTGGCTCCTTTTTGTTAAGTGAATAGGTATTTTTGGGGGTACATTTAGATGTGCATTACTCAAATCTGACTTTAATTTTCTGGCCATATGAGTGACTTATGTAAAAAATAATATATATTTTTTTTTTTACAAAATTCACTCAATTGCACAAGAAATGAAGGTCATATTTGAATAAAACACACCAAATACAAACACACACAAAACTATTCTCATAACAATTTCAACTTCTAAATCACTGTTGAAACCTAACTTAACCTATCCTAACCAAACCAAACCTACCGAACCTAACCTGCCGTAGCCATTAAACGAATAATAACCTAAATTCCATCTGTCTTCATACTCTAGTGCTGATCTTTAATATTTCCAACAATAGTACTGTATAGACTGACTTCAACAGATGGTGTAAAATTTGATGCATCAAGTAATATTTTACTTCTGTCCTCTTTGCCACTGATCGGCTCATTAGGTGCTTGGGTGTTGGTCATGTCTCTGTTACACACTGTTGGCAAGTACTGGGCATGCACCGGCTCCTGAATATATCGGAACCTGCTCCAGTGTTGGTTAAGTCTGGCCTTGAATGAGCTCACACTCGGTGCCATCACAACACTCTTTGGCAGATTCTTCCAAGAGTTCACAATTCTCACTCCAAAAAAGTTTCCCCTCACAGTTTTATGGACTTGTGGCCTCTTCAACCTTGAGCTGTGATCCTTTGTGGGGCGGACGTCTGCCAGCTCCAGGTATGTACATTCGACTGAGTAGTGCCCCCTGAGATGTTTATACACTTTGATTAGATCGCCCTTGCCCATCTGTAGTATAAGCTAGGTAACTGCAGGCACTCTAATATATCTGGGTAACTGAGGTTTTGTAGAGTGTGCACCAGTCTGGTAGCCCTACTTTGGACACTTTCAATCAATTGACAGTCTGTAGCATACCTTGGGGACCAGACGGGGAAGCACCTCACTCTTGAAGATCGTGACGAGTGACGGACCATCCAGATATCTAAACGACCTTCTTATAAGACCTACTAGTTTCGTTGCTTGATTCACCTTCTCACAATGGCCCGAGAACTTAAGTTCATTGTCGACAAACACACTGCCCTGTGGTAACCCGCTTGTCACAGCTGCACATGACGATTTCGTTCCATTTATCACCACACACTGTTTGCGGTCATGCAGAAAGTCTCCAATCCATGCTAGGACACTTCCTCAAATCCCGTACCCTTCCAGTTTAATTCTCAGTCTTTCATGGGGTACGCTGTTGAAAACCTTGGCAAAATTAGGTAAATATTCTTGATATTTCTGCCTTGTTCTAGAATTTGAGTCCAAACATCCAGTACCTTGAGTAATTGTGTTAAGCAGGATTGTACCGGCATAAAACCATGTTGGCAGTCCTTTACAAGGTTGTTTCGTAGCAGATGTTCTATCATGGCATCTTTTATGATGCTCTCTAGTACTTTACACACTATGTTGGTCAGGTTCACTGGTCAATAATTATTTGTGGAGTGACGATCACCCTTCTTGAATATAGGACTCATATAAGCCATCTTCCAGTCATCAGGGACCTTTTGCTCAACCAGGCATTTGCATAACAGGACCTTAAGGGGGCTCCACAAGCTTGTTACACAGTTTTCTTAACACTCTGGGGTGTACCATATCAGGGCCAGGACTTTTGTGAATCTTTAGCTTTGACAGTTTATTTCTTATAACCTCAAACGTCTTCCCTCATACTCAGGAAGATTGTTCACATCCTCTCTTGTGAACACCGATGACAAGAATTTGTTCAAAGCCTCCGCCTTATGCTGGTCAGAATCTACATAACTACCATCTTCAAGCCGATATGCCTACTTTCAGGTCCGATATGCCTACTCGTGTTTTTAATTTCGACTTTGTACAGTGGGGTATGCTATAACGAACGAATGCTATAACGAACAAGGTTCTAGAACCAATTAGATTCATTATAGCATACCCCACTGTATAGCTTTTGGGTTTGACTTGACCTCACTTGCAATCTGCCTCTGGAACTCCTTTTCAGCCCTTCTACACTCTGACTTTGCTTGGTTCTTGGATCTGGTATACATCATCCTGTCCTGCTCATCATTTGCCCTAGCCCTTGTCTCGAAATAGTGGGATTCCTTCTTAACTTTGCCGACTGCCATATGGTTTATGTGTAGTGGTCTCCTTGTATTCCTGGATGGTTTGATCTTAGTTATATATTTATCGATTGAATGGTTTACTTTACTGGCTATGATATTCAGTGTAGCATCTGCGTTCTTATTCCTTAGTAAGTCAGGCCAGTGTATAATCCTCATCTCCTTCCTCATCCTGTCGCAATTTCCTTTGTAATATTTGAACCTGGACCCGGTTTTGTCATGAACTAAGTAACCGTTAAATCTGAAGGACAACGTTACGTGGTGACTGCAGCCAACTGGGGCTAGGTGTTCCAGCTTGAACACCATACCCTCCTCATTAGTTATGATGAGGTCCAATGGTTTGGGTGTTTGCTTCCCTCTGTAGTGAGTCGGATCTTTAACATGTTGGTATAGAAAATTGTCTCTCAGTTTCTACGAAAAGAGTGGCACGATTATTGAGGTCATTTGGCATGGATTCATTTCTCCAGTCGATGTCGCCATAATTAAAGTCCTCCATGACAAGGAGGTGGCTAGGGTTCTGCACCGTTACATTGTCAATTAAGTCTCTTAAGTTCCTCTGGTTTAATATGCTACAGTTTGGGATCTATAGATACATCCAACAATGTTCATGTTCCCCTTTAGTTTAATTTTACACCACTTTTATTCTTCGAAAATATCCTCTCCCTGCACCCTCACTACCTCCAGAAGATTAACCCAACAGCTGTAAACTGTATCTCTAGAAACTCCTGCAACACACTTTTCAATATTAGCTACACAAAGAGATACATTATAATGTACAGTATATTATATAGCCTGTTGTTTCATCCTTTTTTGGTTCTATGCAAAAAAGGGGAAGATAAGGTGCACATAAATGAAGGATAAACACATCAACGTGGGTTCTTCCTTGCAGAATCAAACTCCTTTGTTTTGTAAAGGAATTGCCTAAGCTGTAAAATCGATTGATTTTCAAATTGTAAATCCCTTTTCAGCTATTATTGTATGGTACCTTTCACCTACTTCTGCTATTTTGTAAATGTCTGTCACAAGCATGACAAATTACAGGAAAAGTTGTATTTACTTCAGTAGAGCAACCAATAAAACTATGTTAAAAGGTCACTTTATATGACCAAATGGTGATTTTGGGTGAAAAAAGAACTGTGATTTTGATTGATCAGCTAAATGGGGAGACAAAACATTTGAGAAAATGGTTGCCCCATACAAAGGCAAAAAAATACAGGTCCCCCAAAATTGTAAGTCCAACTTTAATTTTGATGATACATAACACCCAATCAATTCATGTAATAAATGTTCGGCAAATTTTCACTTGTTGCCACTACAAAATCAAAGTCGAAACTATGTTTTTCCAATGGTTTTGATGTGCTATGAACGAATTTGACCCTCATTTCTGGCACAAATCAATAGTTTCTGAGATAACCCCCCCTTCCCATCTCAGAATTTGGAGATTTGCTATATAAATCGGTATTATTTCATTTGTTGCCACTAAATGAATCTCGGGAATTTTATAGTTGCAATCAGTAGTCCGTAGTCCGATCTTCAAGAGCAAGGTGCTTCCCCACCTGAAGTACTGTCACCCTGTCTGATCCCTGGGATATGTTAGGGGACTGTCAGTTGATGAGAATGTCCAAAGGAAGGCCACCAGACTGGTGCCTGCACCTCAGCTACCCAGAGTGTTTAAAACACCTGCAATTGTCTAGATTATACTACAGACAGGCAAGGGAGGACTTAATTGAGGTGTATAAACATCTCAAAGGGCACTACTAAGTCTAGTGTCCATATCTGGATCTGGCGGACACTCGGCCCTCAAGAGGTAAAAGCTCAAGTCCAGAAAACTGTGAGGGCAAACTTTTTCGGAATGAGAGTCGTGAACTCTTGGGACAACCTGCCAGAGAGTGTTGTGATGGCACCGAGTGTGAGCTCTTTCAAGACAAGACTTGACCAACACTGGAGCAGGTTCAGATACATCCAGGAGCCGGTGCATGACCAGTACTTGCCAACAGCACGTAACAGAGAACCAGTACATGCCCAGTACTTGCCAACAGTACATAACAGAGACGTGACCGATCGCCAAAGTGGCTAATGAGCTGATCAATGATGAATAGGATAAAAAGTAAATTTTAAGACACCTAACTTAACTTGGGAGCTCCACAGTCATTCCATGTTTTGCGTACTGCCACGTACGAACATATAAGAGAAAATGTTAAATATCTTTGGCAAAATTTGACTTTCACACAACTATGGAATCTTGAGAATTTTGTCTTTGCACTCAATAGTTTAGACAATTCTCAGACAGTTTTCTTCTATGTCGTTTCCCTCTCAAATAACATAAAAATTATCTAACCTAACCTAACCTCCCCCGGGTCTATATACCATAAGTCATTTGCAAGGGAAATGACAGAGACCAAAAGTATCTTAGAATTGTCAAAACTACCCATTGCAACTATAAAATTAACTAGATTAGTGTACAGTAGTGACAAGTGAAATAATACCAAATATTCCGACTAATTACCCAGATGTAGCCGGAATTAAGTCAAATGATGGTCCTAGATGAATAAATTGGACTGCTAATCACTTCTCGATTATTATTTGGTGTCAGAAAGTAAAAAAAAAAATGGAAAACTTACTTTAATCTGAATTATGTTGTGTTGTGTTAGGTTAGGTACATACACTCGATCTATTAACTCAGATTAAAGTAAGTTTACCAATTTTTTTGTAACTTTCTGACACCAAATACTAGTCGAGAAGTGATTAGCAGTCTGATTTATTAATTTAGGACCATTAGTTGGCTTCATTCCGGCTACATCTGGGTAATTAGTCGGACCCCTAGTATATACTGTTCCTGTTAATTAGGCCTTAGAGTTGGCAAATATTACTAATCATTATAAACACCTGACCAATCACCAGAGACAGTGTGTGATGAATTGTTTACACTCAACACCAACCACTCGCCTCCCTACCCTCCTGTGTTTGCTCCTTGCTGCCAAACTTCCTCTTTAAATAAAATAAATACTAAAAAATACTACAATTATACTCTATAAAAGTTTATTTATTTAATTTTACTAAATATATAAAAGTAAATTATTTTAGTTACACAATGAATAATATTAATGTGGATTATTATTTTAAATATTTATTGTGAGGTTTGGCACCGTGTTAGTTATCATATGACGAGGGAGCAAGAGTGACGATTAACGACCATTGTCAACTAAACAAGGCAATTATTACCATGCTGGAGTCATTATGATACTACAAGAGTGGTACTGTTTGGCATATATTGGCCTAGTAGTTGGAGGTGGACATGTGCTGGCATATAATGGTGAGTTATGAGGACACTGGGACTAACAGTAAAGACAACATGATCTTCTATTAACATTTCCTGTTTATTATTACTAGCTAAACTTTATATAATTAATCATAACCTCCAATAAACAGATATAATGTCTTGTTAGTAATGAGAACTTGGTTATTTAATGGATAATTGATCTTAATCTGTAGCCCTCACTGACCTTATGTTATGTAGCAGTGAGAAAATGTCAATTAACACCCACCTGATTTAATACAATCTAGTACTGTACTTATTTAGTATTATTTTAAGTTCCCATAACACAGGAATCTTAGGAATTTTAGTTTAGTCAATTTTAAAACATTTTCTACATTTCCCATGCAAACGACTTACGGTCCGACTAATTACCCAAATGTAGCCAAATGAATAAATAAATCGGACTGCTAATCACTTCTCGACTAGTATTTGGTGTCAGAAAGTCACAAAAAAATTGGAAAACTTAATTTAATCTGAGTTGTGTTAGGTTAGGTTAGGTTAGATCAGATCAGATTAGATTAGGTTAGGTTAGGTCAGGTCAGATCAGGTCAGATTAGGTTAGGTTAGGTTAGGTTAGGTTAGGTTAGGTTGGGTTGGGTACATGCACTCGATCTATTAACTCAGATTAAAGTAAGTTTTCCATTTTTTTGTGACTTTCTGACACCAAATACTAGTCGAGAAGTGATTAGCAGTCCGATTTATTCATGTAGGACCATTATTTGACTTCATTCCGGCTATATTTGGCTACATTTGGGTAATTAGTCGGACCCAACGACTTATGCTGTATATGCCAGTTAGGAGGTTAGGTTTTAAGGTCATTTGCTAGGGAAACGTCATAAAAAAGTGTCTTAGAATTGTCTAATCTATAGATTGCAAAGATAAAAAGTAATTTCTGGGAACAGCACTACCACCAGAAGTTGTTCAATTTCATAAATTATTTCCACAGATGTTCTTATCACAATAGTAAGTACCGGATATTATAAAAGAGGCGACAGGGTAAAACACAGTGAAAACTGATCATATGACACTAAAATGATTTCTGAACTTGCTTTGTATGTGAAAAAATTAATTGTACAGGGTATAGGTAATTATTGGTTTTAGCGTTTTTTTTTTTTTACTTGAAAACCTATTTTTGTGTGTATTTTAGTGAGTTTTATTCCAGTATAACCTTCATTTCCTTGGAAAATTAGTGGTTTTCAGGGAAATGATGATTTTGAATTTCCACAGTAACTTAAGATTTCCCATGGAAATGAAGGTCAAATTTGCCGGAAAAACACCCAAATACACCAGATAAACCTTACCCAACCTTACCTGATCTTAAGAATGAAAGGGTTAAATTAGGTTAAATGTGCTGTAACTCATTAAGTGTAGGTGGTTACATTCTGTTAGGCACACAGTCCCAAGGTAGGTAGATACCAGGTAGCCTCACGCAGGCCCATAGCAATTCACTAATTGGCAACTCTACTCTCGAGATCGCTAAGCCACGCCCCTTTTGCTACTTCATGCGTTTGTAATATTGAGGTATTATTATCTGCTTCTACCGTTTGATGTAACTAAGTGGGCGGAGCTTAATAAGTGATGTCATCGCTAGCCAATCAGCGACGCTGGATGAAATCCAGCGGTCGCAAGTAAGATATATTAATTTTATATATTTAATCAGTGGCTCCAATTAAAATAAAACAAAAAATCTCCATTCCATACATTTATTGTACAGCTTTTAATACCAGCATAAGCCTTCAAAATTACGTAAATAAAAAGTTCATTTTTATTTTCATTAGAGTAGATCCTATGGGAGTGAGGCTACCAGGTATCTACCTACCTTCCACAGTCCAGCCATTATTAGAAAAGGGCATTTTATTATTAACTTATTACCTGTAGTTGGTATATATCCCTGTATATTGTAGTTAAGGAATGCAACCCAATACCCTGTAGTTCCTAGTCAATAACTATTGTTCAGTTGTGCACAACCCTAGGTGTTCCTGACAGTACTACACATGCCATGATCTGTACTTGTGCTACCTTCTCTTAAGATCCTAATTTTGCAGATTTATCATTTAATAACTCGGTAATTTTTACTGGAGTATTTTACTCATTTGTACTCGGGCTTTTTGTTTAATGCTAATATGATAACCTTTCTTTCAGATAACCCATTGATAATAAAAAACACAGGCCCGGTGGTCCTTGACATGCCAATATGGTTTTCTGCTGTCCTTACTGATTATGAAGATGGAGAACAACTGTCATGGTATTGGTCAGATAATCTCTTTCATGAAGAGTATGTAAGTATTTATTAACAGTGTAACAGGTGGTTTGTGTTTATTGGCATGGATGATCTTTTATGAGATGCTGATGTTTTGAGAAACAGACGTATTTTTTTATTTATTTATTTATTTTTTTACGGGGCCTGAGGCAAAAATGTAATAATGATAATATTAATAATTCATAGTAATTAAAATTAATAAAAAAATACAAAATTGAAAATTAAATATATATTCACAGTAAATAAAAATTATAATAAAAATAAAATATTAAAATAATGATAACAATAACAATAACAATAATAATAATAATAATAAAGAACTATAAAGAAAAAATCAATAGTGGAAAATGATATACAGTTATGTATGTTGTGTTGTCAAAGTAAGAGAAACAATTGAGATCCTCCAATTGTGAGCAAATGAGGCAGAAAGACAGATCAACAACCTGGGACTAGGTCACAATTTTCGGGATGCAATATAGCAGCAGGGTCTACCATTGGACAACGCATTATGCTTCCAATATCTTCCCAGGTGGTAGTACCTCCCTGTTTGATAGCTGCCAACTATACTTGCACACACTTACCCCATCTAGTAAACAGTGCTTGATACAAGGTCAGCTTTTCATTTCAAATTTAATTAAAACTGGTTCAGAAGAGGCCTTAAGACTGTATTGGGATGTACAGTCAGCAAAAAATTATTCTGCACCCCATGATCTGATGGCTTCTGCAACGATCACTGACTGAGGCCATGTTAATTTGGTAAGGTTGGTATTTGTGGTTGTATGATGCATTGTATAACCAGTATGATGTATTTTTTAAATCACATATAGTTAATACAGAGAAATTAACAGGAATCACCCACATAAATGAATGTTTTCAGAATTCTTGGGCTGGTGTGTCATATTGTATAACATCATAAAGGTGAAGAAATTTTTTGTTGTTGACTGTACCTCAGGCAGGATATTTGAAGTCTCGTATTTTAATGAATCCTTTCCATGCCACACGACCATCAGAGGCAACTAGTAGCCTCATAATTCAAACAGGCAATAAAGGGGATCTCCATGCTTAATAGTTCAGTCGCTTAAGTCACTCGGTTTTACAGTATTTTCAACGACAATGTGTTTCCTTTTTTTAAGATAAGAGTTAAACCAGTGAACAGATCTAGTGCCAAGAGCGTGCAGTGTACCATGACTTTATTTAGGAGTAGATTAGTTACCACAGTTCTGCTTGTATACACATACTGTACCAGTACTGTTCTGTACTTCAGATGGTCTGCACCACCTGGTGCTCTACCAATATTCCACAAACTGTATCTTAGCTTTGATTTTCCCAGTGAATGAGGGGCATTTGAAATATTTCAAACCCTTTCCCCATTTAAGATACTGTAGACGAGTTGGAATTAGTATCCATTAACCCTCTCAGGCTTGGGGTGTGGTGAAAATCTCACTCCCTTGCATCATCCAAATGTTTTTTTTATTTCTAGGTAGAGTATTTTGATACACTGTTGCCAATGGACAGGCAGTGGGTAGAGCTAAGTCAACCAGGGGAGATGCATTCATCCCTTATCTACCTCATCTGTTTGAAACTGTCACCCCTACTGGGTCCTCTGAGACATAATTATTCATGTGTAATAATATACAATACGTATGGGTTTTTTCGTGAAATATTTATTCGGCTTGTATTTTGAGTTAGTGAAACTGTATACTGTATGAAGATAAAGTAGAAAAACAAGAATTTCAAGTGAACTTCAGTTTTGTAATACAGGATGTCCTCACTATGTGGCACCCCTGTATAAGAAATTTCACACTTCTGGAATTTTCATTTTAGTACAGTATAGTACAATACAGTATCGTCCATAAATTCCGTAGTTACGTAAATTTTTTGGGAGAAGGTAACTACTGTACTGTACAGTAATATGCAATAAGTATAAAATAAGAAAAAATAAAATTCTGGTGAGGAAGGTAGGGCGAGAGATTGGCTGGACTCGATGGAAATTCCCCAACCTCTTTATAACAACAGTGTGCAATGTCACCATAATGCCCTTATTATTTAAACTCATTTGGTGTCGGGTTAATAAAACTATCGTAAAATAATACATTTTCCTGAAAAAATCTTACACTCGACACCAGATAAGTTATAGAGCTTGTTTACATATGCAAACAGTTGAACAGCTAGCCTGGCACCTGCCTCTCTCCAGGATTTTTTTTTTTTTTTTTTTGTGTATTGGTTTCACCCAAATGACAATTATGGAAGCAAAAACATTATATTTGTTGTTCTGTATTTTAATTGAAACTACTGTACATAGGAATTATCAACATTTATAGATAGCGGAGGATTGTGTTATACAGCTGCTCCTTGACTTACGACGGGGTTAGGGACCCAAATCCAGGTCGTAAGTCAAATTGGTCGTCAGTTAAAAATGCTTAAATAATACATAGAAAATCTAAAATGGGTGTCTCTTTTTCTTCTCAGCACCACAAAACTCTCACTTTTAAGCTTGCCAGCCATTTTAAAGTGAATTACAAACGAAAATTTTGTCAGTACACAGCGCAATCACTAATATCGGAACTCGAAAATACGTAATTTGACAAAATTTTGGTACGACTGAGGCAGTCGTATGTCCGGGTGGTCATAAGTCGAGGAATAGCTGTACTCCCCTATCCCTGTCTCATGTACCAATAGTTCCCCACCCCTACCCTGTCTCGTGTACCAATAGTTCCCCACCCCTTCCCTGTCTCATGTACCAATAGTTCCCCACCCCTACCCTGTCTCATGTACCAATAGTTCCCCACCCCTTCCCTGTCTCAGTACCAATAGTTCCCCACCCCTTCCCTGTCTCGTGTACCAATAGTTCCCCACCCCTTCCCTGTCTCGTGTACCAATAGTTCCCCACCCCTTCCCCCCTGTCCCCAATACCACCCCCTTCCGTACCAACTGTTCCCCACCCTTCCCCCCAACAGTTTCCCCTTCCCTGTCTCACTGGTGGTACCAACAGTTCCATTCCCTGTCTCTGTACCAACTGTTCCCCACCCTTCCCCTGTCTCTGTGTCCTTTCCCCAAGTCTGTCTGTTCCCCACCCCTTCCCTGTCTCTGTTCCCCACCCCCACTCAGGTTGTCCCCACCAACTGTCTTCTGTCTCTGTACCAACTGATCCCCACCCTTCCTGTCTCTGTGGTACCAACTGTTCCCCACCCTTCCCTGTCTCGGTACCAACTGTTCCCAACTGTCTTACCAACTGTCCCACCCCTTCCCCCTCCAACTGTTCCCCACCTCCCTGTCTCTGTACCAACTGTTCCCACCCTTCCCTGTCTCGTGTACCAACTGTTTCCCTTCCCTGTCCTCGTGTACCAACTGTTCCCCACTGCACCAACTGATCCCACCCCTTCCCCTGTCTCCCAGTACCAACTGTTCCCCACCCCCTTCCCAATCTCGTGGTACCAACTGTTCCCCACCCCTTCCCTGTCTCTGCTGGTACCAACTGTTCCCCACCCTTCCCTGTCTCATGTACCAACTGTTCCCCCCCTTCCCTGTCTCTGTACCAACAGTTCCCCACCCTTCCCTGTCTCTGTACCAACTGTTCCCCACCCCTTCCCTGTCTCAGGTACCAACAGTTCCCCATTCCTCTCTTCCTGTCTCGCGGTACCAACTGTTCCCCACCCCTTCCCTGTCTCGTGTACCAACTGTTCCCCACCCCTTCCTGTCTCGTACCAACTGATCCCCACCTTCCCCTGTCCTCGTGTACCAACTGTTCCCCACCCTTCCCTGTCTCTGTACCAACTGTTCCCACCCCTTCCTGTCTCATGTGTGATTCTTCCCTGTCTCGTACCAACAGTTCCCCACCCCTTCCTGTCTCTGTACCAACTGTTCCCCACCCCTTCCCTGTCTCTGTACCAACTGTTCCCCCACCTTCCCTGTCTCATGTACCAATAGTTCCCCACCCCTTCCCTGTCTCTGCTCACCAACTTCCCACCCCTGTCTCTGTTCCCCACCCTTCCTTGTCTGTACCAACAGTTCCCCAGTACCAACAGTTCCCACCCTTCCTGTCTCATGTACCAACTGTACCCCTTCCCTGTCATGTACCAATAGTTCCCCACCCCTCCCCCCAACTGTTCCCCACACCAACCCCACCCTGTCTCTGCACCAACTGTGTCCTGTACCAACTGTTCCCCACCCCTGTCTCTGTACCAACAGTTCCCCACCCTTCCCTGTCTCATGTACCAACTGTTCCCCCACCCCTTCCCCCCATAACTGTTCCCCACCCCTTCCCTGTCTCTGCACCAACAGTTTTCCTTCCCCACCCCTTCCTGTCGTGTACCAACTGTTCCCCACCCCTTCCCTGTCTCGTGTACCAACAGTTCCCCACCCCTTCCCTGTCTCGTGTACCAACTGTTCCCCACCCCTTCCCTGTCTCGTGTACCAACTGATCCCTACCCCTTCCCTGTTTCCAAATCACACCACCTTATCATCACTGCTGCCATCCAACAGTTATCAGAAGTTGTATTTGGTAACATGAACGTTCTGTATCCTTACAGGAAATATCAGCATTGTAATCTAGCCCCAATAAAAAGATTACTTCAGTCCATTCACCTTCATATAATATGAGGTAAATAAACACATAGCTGCCAAATTTCATAAAATGCACCAGCTGGTGTACAAGGTATAATTGGAGCAGATGGAACCAGGTCTCTTGAATCTAAACCAACAGCTTAATGACTGCACTTTGCTGTATGTTGCATCTACCTGATAGTTCATCTGAGTTCAGTCCTAAGACAGGATTTTAGGGTCAGTCCTTTCTTTTTGTTTATTTAATAATGTATTGACACACATGTGTCCATATCATAACTGCTTCTCCTACAAGAGTTTAATCTTTTCAGCTGAACATCAATACAAAGGAATGCTTCTGGAATGCCACTTATGATTATGACACATATGCTTGGTATACTGGAAATATCACTGTTCATCTCTCTGTCAGCAAATACTTTGGTGTGATTTGGGTCCCAAGAGCAGAAGCATTTACAACTTTTGAACTCACAGGTAAAGTTAATTTAGCTTTGCAATTAAACTTACAGTATGGTACTTTAATTAAGCATAAAATACCCATCACAACAGTGTAATTTTACTTTGAAAAATTAATACTGTATGTCAGATTTACCTGACAATTGTGAAGTACTGTATAATAGAAACTATTAAATATTAATACTATGAGTCTTAATGATGTCACATTCTGGGGACACAGGAAGGGTTCAGTCTTACAGGTGTGTTGAAACAATGCAAGATATTTTAAATGATTTCTCTGAAGGATTTAAATTTCATTGATTTTCACACTACATTACACATTAACTTTTTGTATTTCATATTTGAAGCTTGATATTTGAGTGACTTGTACACTGTATGGTGATCTAGATACTGTAGAATATATTACACTTAAATGTTGTAGCTACTGGCAGCAAAGATTTTTATGAGGTGCAGGTGATGATAAATGGTGTACACATCTCATAACTCACACATGAAAAACTCCTCGACAGTGCACCAGCCATACCACAACCCACCCATTACAGTGCACCCAGCCATACCACAACCCACCCATTACAGTGCACCCAGCCATACCACAACCCACCCATTACAGTGCACCCAGCCATACCACAACCCACCCATTACAGTGCACCCAGCCATACCACAACCCACCCATTACAGTGCACCCAGCCATACCACAACCCACCCATTACAGTGCACCCAGCCATACCACAACCCACCCATTACTGTGCACCCAGCCATACCACAACCCACCCATTACTGTGCACCCAGCCATACCACAACCCACCCATTACAGTGCACCCAGCCATACCACAACCCCCCCATTACAGTGCACCCAGCCATACCACAACCCCAACTTTCTTTAAAACAATAATTTAAACAAAATACTCATGGTTTTGTGGTATTTTGTTTTTTTAATATTTTAAGTTCTTTTTTTCTTTTGTATTTTGTTTTTTCCGCTTCTGTTATTGTTTTCCTTTATAATAAAGTCCGGAGATGTATTCTTAGTGCATGTGATGGCTTTCTTAGTTATCCTTGGACAGATCAAATTGCCTTGTTGTGTATCATTGTTTGTGTACCTGCATTGTATATGTACAGTCAGCCAAAGGTGATTGTGATTGGTGTTCGGCTGCATTACTGTCAGGATAAATATTAAACAATCCAAAGGTAGAATTTTTATAATAATAAACTATTCAATGTTATTTAAGATCATAAGTTTCCAAATGTTCTTATATTTGGTTAAATAATGAAGAAAATTTGATCTGAAAATCTTGTGGCAGTCCTCGTTGTAGTTGAGTTGCCAATTCATTAATATAATTTCTACATTATTTAACTAAATACTGTACAAGTATATGAATTTTTGGAAACTTCTCTATCTTAAATAAGAATGAATAGTTTATTATTAAAATAATTCTACCTTTGGATTGTTTAATATTTATTCCTTACAGTAATGCAGTCAAAAATAGATCCACCAATCGCAATCACCTTTACTTTACTTCACCAAGTATTGCCAGTAAGAGACTCAGGGTGGGGTCGCTGGCTGACTGTACGTAGTATAACTGAACCTGCTTTGTCTATATTCCTGTTGAACTGTATTCCTGCATAATTATCAATATCTATCTATCTATCACACACACTCTAGCACCACCCACCTGCCACATGTCCATCCCTGCACTCTGCTACAGTACTTTCTCAATATTCATGCACCTAAATTTTAGCATGTCCTTCACTCAATATAAATCATTGGTAGGTTGAGACCATCAGTGATTAAGCTGGGGGCAACTCTTTGGGTAAGGGCTTGGGGCTAATCTTCAGGTGAGCCATAAAAGTCTAAAATTGTGAAAGGTCCTGTTTGTGGTCTTGTGCTCGACTATATTAACCCCTACATAGGTCCTGGAATGCATCACAGTAAAGAATACAGGACGTCGTTAGTGTACCGGCTATTATTTTTCCCATCTTAATTTGTGTTATAAGTCTGACTTTTCTCTGTGGGATCATCATTCAAATAATTTTAAATTTCATATGTGATTTTATATTAGAGCTGTATAGTTTACAGTTGTTGATGTCAAAAAGAATTCTTGGATTTGCTTTGACTAATAAAAATTCTAGGGGAACAGGAAAGCCCCTGTAGTGAGTACATTACACTGATTACCTTTTCCTCCTACAGCATTCTTGAATGGAAGGCTGACTGTATTTCAACCAGATGTCATTCTGCCAACGCCAGGCCTAATCTCAACTACCAATGAAACCAACATCACAGCACTCGTGTATGATCCACATGACTGGCTCAAACAGCGTACTGAAGTGGCCACATTCTATTGGGTCATTAATGATAATGTAAGTATTATTGAATGTACTCGGTAGAAATTCTCTTGAGTAGCTTGTCATTGTAACCATTACTGGAAGATAATTGTCATTTGATCTGAATAATACTGTTTATATTTTATTCTTAATTTGACCAATATTGTATAATTACAGGGGGCCCCCCTAATCCACTGGGGTTAGGTTCTCAAAATGGCAAATAACCTTTGCTGAATGGGGGGGGGGGGTTACATTTTTACTTGTGTACAAAGAAATGTATATTCCTTTTGAGTGTTTGCCCTTTGGATAATTATTTCTTTTACCTGTATTGTATATGTGTGTGTCTACACTGTCTCTAGAATGAATGGCTCCCTGTCCCGGCCACATAAATGCCAGCAACTTTAAAACTACCCACAGACATTTTTGGGTACATCCATAGTTTCATCCGCGAATAGTAGAGGACGCAAAATAAAAGTCCGCGAATTTTTTGGGCCCCTGTACTTGTTTAACTGAGTTAGTTATACAGATGGGGATTTAGTGTCTTAATATCAATTTGAGGATTTTACATATTGCAGTAAACCTCAAAAACTAATAAAAGTGAGGAGGCAGAATGTTTGTAATTCTAATTTGCTACATTTTGGATGTAGTTGATAGCTTGAAACATGGATTGTGGGTTAATAATTCTTAGAAATTTCATAAAATAACCTGAGTTTCCTATTTTGTGTGTTTTTTAATCGAATAAATGTATATTTCAAATAATTTTAAATTAGTGATGATTAAGTGTTGAGTAAGTTTTGAATATCTCGGATGTTTCTTGTGCTGATAATTGTATTTTACAGGTACGTGCTTCTTGCTCGACACCATCTTTAATTATCAACATAACTAAGGCTGATGACTATACCATCCAAGCCAATATTATTATGGACATCTCTGATGAAATTATCACCACCACTACTACAACGACAACAACAACCACCACCACCACAACAACCACTACACCTAAGCCAGATAATAAAACTACCACAAAACCTCCAGCAACCACAACACCGCCCCCAACAACTACTACACCTAGTAATACCACAACAATACCAACACCCCCACCACCTAATCCTAGACATTGGAGATGTGATGGATACTGGCCACAGGCAGGACATGGCAGTGGTTCACCAGAGTCCAGAAATCTGAAGTTGGGTCACTTTCATGTGAAGGTCTCTGCTAAAGGTACATTCATTTCAGTATTTTTTCTTTAATTTTTAGAATACATTCCAGTATGATATGATCACTTACAGCTAAATAAAGAGAAAATGATATACACTAGGGCCTCAGAGTAAGTGTATCCATAGTACGCTACCCCGCCCTTACGATTGGGTCTCTTGTGGGAGCCAACCCACCCAGCATCTCTTGCTAGCTTAGCATATTTATCACTTGTCCATGCTTGTTTGAGAAAAAATCATTACAATACAAGTGTCCCTCATTTAATGATGGAGTTTTCATTCCTGAAAATCCTATCATTAAGCGAAATTATGGCTAAACGAGGGATAACAATAAAGCATGGAGGGTGAACAACAGGTTTAAATGGCAGGACGATAAACATTGGGTACAGTACTGTACTCCCTCATGATAATAAACAAGCTTGTTTTATAAATGGTTTTGAAGGTTGATTATAATTATTAATACCACAATTCTATATAAAGGATGTGGCTCAGATCCTTCTCTGGTTAGGTTCACTAGGAATGTAATTTCCAATCAACCAATCGGTCTCTGGTTAGGTTGGGTTGGGTTAGGTTAAGTTAGGTAAGGTAAACTGATACTTGAGAGTTGTTAGGTTAGGTTCTTGATGATCTTTTTGTTTGGCAAAAATTTCTTTTCTCCACCATTTTTTAGATGTTCTTGATAAACTTGGCACCTGTTCTTAAATAGACTGTACTGTTTAGGTATTACTCAAGTTGCCTAGTCCAAGCTAAGTCTTAAAATAGTATTTCAGGAGTAGTTGTCTTTTTATATTGATATATGATACATTGGTCCCTCGGCTAGCGAGCACAATCCGTTCTAGAAGGTTGCTCATTAACCGAAAAACTCGTTAACCGAAACCATTGTTTCAATGGGTTTTTGGGTAATTGGTTCCAGCTCACCGAAAATTGCCTAAATTCAACAAAAAAACGTAGAAAAGTGCACTTACTTTGAGGTGTGTATGTAGAAGGCTCCTGGATGATGATGATGATGATGATGGGAATTAGAGTGGGGGGTGGAGGAGAAGGGAGAAGAGAAGGCATTGGGGTGGAAGAGAAGTCACCCCATGGTGCCATTTCACCTATAAAATTTTAGTTCTCTTGGTGTAATTCAAGATTATTTTCTTTAAATCAACACTGCACTGCATTATATATTGTCAATATGTAAAATAAATTTCAAAATGACCAATAGTTTGCTTGCAAACACAGAAAAAAGTATTTAGTTGAAGAGAGTCTCAAGCAAGGTGTTACCTCCACTGATAACACACAAAGACTGACGCCTGTATGGTGTGTTGAGAAGCTGGATGGCGCGCATAAAACTAGTTTCATTACCTTCAATTATGTTCAATAATTGTTAAAATGACTAAAAAATTTAATATTAAACTTTTAAAATTATTGAATAGTATAAACTTCTTGATATTTGCTAAAATGGTAAGGAATTTAAGCCCTAGAACCGATTACTGTATTGGCGGACTAATACTACAGCTGGTGGACCGCCAAATGCAAGCGAAAACATGTTCAGGTCGGCTCGTAAGAAACTCATTAATTGAGGGATTGCTCGTTAACCGAAGTTAAGAATCTTATGGAAGGTAACTCGTTAACCGAAATCTCGTGAACTGAAATCTCGTTAACCGAGGCGCTCGTTAACCGAGGGACCACTGTATGTGTATTTATTAATCTAATGGGGTTTTGGGTTGGGGCAGTCACACCACAAACAGATAATATATCTAATTTAATTTGTTTTCATTTGCATGCAGTATATTGACCAAGAAAAGGCATTGTGTTGCAGTATACTTATACAAGCTTACATAATTTATCTTTTTCACTTCTGGTGACACTTCCTTCCTTCAGTTTTATTCACTTGTACAGTAGCCTAGTTTTAATGTGACTACCTGGTAATATAAATTATTTTTCCATAGCACCGATTGGGCAACTGAATACAACTGGAAAAACTTGGCTGAAACATGGAGAACTGTTCAATGTGACTATCCAGTGTTCTGGTACTGGTCCCTGGGGTTATTGTCATAAAGTTTACAGTGGAGTTTACAATATCACTGGTAAGTAAAATAACAGTTTATTAGATTGTCTCATGACTGCAGCAAGTAAACCTTATTTAAGTAATGTACAGTACAGTGCTCCCCCCCAAGCATGCTGGTATTTGGTGCTAATGGAGGGCACCTACTTGGGAACCATGTACTTGGGTTCTATAAACTAATGGAGTAATCGTCTCCCAGGTGAGGGGGTCGATTTGGTATTTTATCAGGTTTGTCTTAAGACTATCCTTATACCTTTTCAGTCACCCGCCAGAATTTAATTTACTGTTTGTTGGTGACTTTACTGTAAAGTAGCTGCTTTGGCAGACTACTGTCGGCCATGTGAGTAACATGGCCAGTCCAGCGTAGTTGTTCATGGATAATGGTAGCCTCGATGCTCCTACAGTTGGTGTCAGCAAGAACACTGGCATTTGTTTTTTTGTCTTCCCAGCGAACTCGGAGGATGGTACGTATTCTATGTTGGTGAAAGTTTTCAATTGCCTTGAGATGCCTCCTGAAGTGACCCATGTCTAGCTGTCATATAACAGGGTGGGGAGGACCACTGCTCGATATACGTGCAACTTTGTAGATATTTTCAGCTCCCTACAGCTGAAGACACGGTTTCAGAGTGCCAAAGGCTTGAGATGCACATCTGATCCAATGCTGAATCTCTTCATCGATGTCCTCGGTGGTGGACAGGTGGGAACCGAGATACAGTAGAATGTTGATATAACACGAGATACGTGCCAAGAGAGGTCGCTTTAAACCGAATTCGCACTAAATCGAAGTGTTGTTTCAATGGAATAATTTAGTTTGGTAATTGATAGAAACACAATATACTTAAAAGACTGAGAATCTACCCAGATGCACCTCAGCCCATCTCCTAGAATAAACAAAACATCGATTTTTGTAGTATTATGTTAAAACAAACAATCATAAATCAACACAGCTAAAATTATGAGACGCGAAATGGTCTGTTTACTAGCGATCGGCTGATGTGAGAGGGTAGCCGCACCCCAGGGTTGCCAGGTCTGTCCTTTTAAGGACAGTGTCCTTTTTGAGACCCGCTTGTCCTTTATTTTCAAAATAACAAAAAGGACAACCGTAAACTGCCGTTCATGCCATCGTGGAGTTGCCTCACAATGGCGATGAATTTTTTGGGGCATCCAAACGGCTGAGGGTCCACCAGAGGGCTTCCCTGTTGACCGAGTCGATGAAAGCCATGTACAGGTCACCATGCTGCTCTCTGCACTTTTCCTGTGTCTGGTGGGCAGCAAAGATCATGTCAGTCGTGCCACGTGATGGTCTAAAGCCACGTTGAGATTCTGGAAGGAAGTTTTCTGCCTCAGGAAGAAGTCTGTTTAAGAGGACTCAGGCAATAATCTTGCCAGCTACGGACAGCAGCGAGATCCCGCAGTAGTTGCCACAGTCTGGCCGGTCTCCCTTATTCTTATAAATATTGGGGGATTTCCTCCTTTTCCCATATATTCTCCAGGAGAAAGTAGACACGGCTGGTAAGCAGAAGTCCTCCTGCTTTATTCACCTCGGCCGGGATTCCATCAGGTCCTGAGGCTTTGTTATTTTTCATCTGTTTGATGGCAGTAGCAACCTCATCCAGGGATGGAGGATAGCTGAGGTGGGTCAGCTCTGGATGCTGAGGGACCTGCTGGGTAGTCAGGACATCCATATCAGTGTTTCGGTTGAGCAGTGAATGGTAGTGCTCTTTCCAGTGCTGAAGGAGGCCTTCATCGTCTTTAATTTTGAAGTTACCGTCAGATGAGCGAAGGGGGCTGCACTATGAGTGATTGGCTCAAAATGTTTTGGTGGAATTGAAAAATTAGCACACACACACACACACACACACACACACACACACACACACACACACACACACACACACCCACCCCCACCCAAGGGACAAGACGTACCTGGCGTTCCTCTGGGAGCAGCCAGGTCAACTGTTATGTTGGCCCATACCAACTCCCTCCCCTGAACCCTCCTCCCCACCAGAATATCAACAAGTTCTCACCAGAAGTAACTATTTCATTTAGGAAAGGAATGGAACCAGTGTTGAATAGTGGTGAACAGTGCTCAAGTCAGTGGAAAACAACTCAACAGTAACAGCTGAGTCGCACCCAAGCTGACCTTCACACAGTGAGGTCCCAGGTACCCAGTGATAACTGCCCCTGAGACTCAACAACACCAGCTATGTGTTAATCCATCCACGATAGGGAGGCCTGGGACCACACCTCACTCACTTGAGTGAGGTGTGGTCCTGTGACACAAGACCACGTGGTGTCCCCATTTGCCTCTCCCTCCTGGCCATAAGATAGAATGTTTTTTTATCCTTATTTCTTGTTTTGGGAGAAGTTGGTAACTCTTACATGTTTTCTCTTTTGCCAGGTAATGAGACATGTGATTTTGCTGACAAGATCATGACTAATGACTGTAACTTCTTGGCCATCCATTATTTCCGGGAAACTGGAACCCACACCTATCTGCTCATCATCAGCAATGACATATCAACCGTTATACGACCCATACCTGTTATCATTTACAATGGTAAGTAACGTAAATAAGTAACTTAGTGAGGAGTCCTCACTAAACAATAGTGATGCATTCAGCAGAAATGCTTTCACATAGTCCTTGAATGCAGTACTGTACAGTAGAACCTGAGATATTCAGAAATTATTTATTTTTAAATCTCAAAACCCAGCATCATTGAAAGTAATTGAAACAAATCACAAAGTATCAACTTGCTGATGGCAGTATTTTTATCTCTTTGACACCTGTGCTCTTGATGGAAACATTCATCAGCAGGGGCTATGTGCAGCAGTGTTGCTCTCTGATTTTATGCACTTATACTACATAAAAATGTCTAGCAAGCATGGTTGCTGTGTCTTGCCATTAAGTAGTCAGGCTACATGACAGTGACAAGGCATTGTCATGGAGTGTTGATCAAAGATAGATCTAACAGGTGACTTTGTTCTCCAAGACATAAAATGGGATATTATGTATCAAACCTACATTTTTCCTTGAATGATGTTATGTGATATTTGACCCTGTTGGAAAAAGCTCGATGTCCTTTTGCTGTATTACTGTACAGTACAACCAAAGTAAGAAACTCAACGAAAAAATGAACATTAAATAGTAAACTCCCTCTAACCCAGACTCGTTTAATCTGATTCCCTCTGCAAACTGGCTTAGGGTCGGGCACCGGACAAGTGTAGTGTATCCCCAACTTGGAAAACCACAACCAAAGTTCAGTTAGTATCAGGAAAGTTGACAAAAGCGGGGGTAATGTACAGTACATAGTCAATGAAATGAGAAGTTAAAACTTAACGTCCTCTTTGGTAACAGACAATGTGAGGGTCCATATAATTACCTCCTGCCTCAGCTGCCTCATGATAAGTTAATAATTTGTATGTACAGTACAGTATATACAGTAGTTTATTTTTAACATTTACTCGACCCCACACGAGTTATTGCATCACATTATATTCCCGGGGGCTTTGTTTACATATCTCAAACAGCTGATTGCCTGCACTGTGCTTCTCCGTATCGTCATGCTTACCACAATGTCTGTCTTCAGCACTTGTTAAATAATATTGTAGTGTATTATGTACCTGCATATACCTTGGTTTATTTATTAATCAGTTGTCTTATTGTACAAGTATCCAAACCAAGTCATCATGTATCACTCAAAGGTAACACATTATGTTTTTAAGGAATGTATCTCCATACCAAATACAGTACAGTACAGTTTGTTATAATGACCCCATTGTAAGTTGATTTGCTGAAAACTCGTTTTCTTGGAACACACCCTGAGCTTTCTAGGGGTATTACAGTACAGTACATGTTGGAATGCATATACCCCTAATTACTTTAATACTTATGAGGATAAATTTCTTATTATAAAACATTTCACTATAAGTCGCATTGCTCTGGAACTTATCCCCAATGTATAATGAAAACTCCCTGGACATTGAAAAAATTTGTTTCTTGTTCAGTGAAATATTGTTCTGAAATGAAAGAAGAATTCTTCTTCTAAAGGGAGTTTATTATTGCAGTATGACCACTACTGGTCACATCTTACCAAGTAACAGTGCCACCTGGCCTAACTTTGGAATTTAATTGGTTAGTGAGTTTTGAAAGTAGAACCTTACTGTTATAGCTGCTGAAAGAAAATGTAATTAATTGTTATATTTCATATTTACAGTGGACCGTAAGCCTCAGCTGTCATACATCATCATTCCAGTGTCTTGCAGCTTGGTAGTCATCATCATTATAGTATTTGGCATTGCCTACTTCATTCAAAGCAGACAAAGGTAATATTTGACATAAAAAGTTGTATTTTCTTATGCAGTTTGATTATCATTTAGTTTTATGGTGAATGAAAACAATATTTTTATAATTTATCACAAAGATATTCTTTGAGGACATACTATACAGCGAACTACTCCACAATGGCATGGCACAAGCTGAGACCTTTGTATCTATTGAAGTGGATCAGTAAACTCATATGCTGCATCTACAAGCTGACACATTAACCCCCTAAGTTGTCAAAAACTGGGTCCATTGTTATTAGATTTCCCACTGAAAAGGCAAAGAAGGAGGCTAGTATGGTAATTAGTTACTGTTTGGTACACTTGGACTTCATGGTGTCCGAACCTAGAAAAATTATGCTGAAAATGACAATTGTAGGTATTCCTTCTGTACTTCCTGATGACAAAATAGCCTCAGGTAATGCTGGGAAGAATATTAATACTCAAGAACTGTTATATAAAGGCAGCAAGTTATCCCTTGTTTTCACAGATAAAAGGAGATAGTAAACTCGCAGTCTTGAAGATGTCACCTGAAGTATGAAATTCCATAGTGAAGTTTCAAGGATGTACTGTATTTATGTTGGACTGAACAGATACAAAGCTTATGACAGGTCTTGGGTCACAAAGTGTTACCACTTCCAAAATTTGGACAACTTGCTTTAGACTGTCCTTCAGTTTGTGCCTTTTGTGCAGGCAATCATGAGTCAAGGACATGCTCAAATAAGATATCACCCTGCTGTGCAAATTGTTCCACTCTTACAGTACCACCCAAGTCAGTCAGTCATTTGGCATCAAGTAAAGATTGCCATGTGATGACTTCCTTGTTCAAAAAATGCATAGTGCCCTCCTTGAGCTTATTAAAAGTGAGTCCGCTTAATATCATTGTGATCCAAAACAAAATGTGTCACATTAATGAGTTTGTGAGGGCGTTCAGCTTGGATATCCTCTGTGTAACTGAAACGTGGTTGTATGAATTAGACATCCACATTATTCATAGTGCTCTTCCTGAGACACATTCTCTTGTTCCTGTTCCCAGACCTGCTGCAAGAGCTCTGGTTGGCAGAGTGGCCCTGATTTATTCAGTGGCCTTTCTCAACATTAGACTGATTAGTAGCGACTCTGTTTTTTCCTCCTTTGAATTTATGGAGGTATTAATAAATCTTCATCATCAAATTACAGTAATTTCTCTGTTAACTAGAATCTTTAGTCCCCAGTGCTTTCCAATACCCAGAAAAATATTTTGAGCATTTCGAGAAATTCCTGGAAAAATCTTTCCATTCCGGATATCTCAACAAATTTCCAAGAGATTGCATTAGCACATTTCCAGAAAATTTTGAGAAAATCTCTCCGTTCAGGGCATTCAGATGAATTTCTGAGAGATTGCATCTTGTTTCTAACACGGGGACGCATGCCGGGCCCGTGGGCGGATAGGCTCAGACAGCTCGTGAGCTACGATTGACCACTCTGCGATATGGAAGAACCAGATGGTGAAGCTGTCAGCTTACATCACTGTCCATCCCATCATATAATGTTTGCCATAAAATGAGTGTCAGGTTCAAGTGATTCACAGTACAGCTCCTCCCTGACTTACGACCACCCGCACTTACAACCTGCCTCAGTTGTACCAAAATTTTGTCAAATTACGTATTTTCGAGTCCAAATGTTAGTGACTGCGCTGTGTACTGACAAAATTTTCGTTTGTAATTCACTTTAAAATGGCTGGCAAGCTTAAAAGTGAGAGTTTTGTGGTGCTGAGAAGAAAAAGAGATACCCATTTTAGATTTTCTATGTATTATTTAAGCATTTCTGACTTACGATCATTTCGACTTACGACCTGGAATTGGGTCCCTAACCCCGTTGTAAGTCGGGGAGGAGCTGTATCTAGTTGTGCCCCTTGTTCACTCGGCTGTCTCCATGTTTTCAGAAGCTAAGTGCTTTATTTATAATTTTTTTTGCTCATTTGAGGACAAATTTGTGCATTTAGGAATTAATAGAAGTTGTGATGGTGGATGAGAGAGAGAAGTTTTAAAAAGAATGGGTCAAGCAGAAACAGCATTTAATAAATCCTGCAGATCTATTAAAAATTACCATAATCATTAGTTTGAGAAAAAGTTTATTGAAAAGCAGTGTACAGTACAGTATTCTATTAGTCAGAAGCATGGATACTTACAGCAGACTCTAGGAGGAGGCTATAAGTCTTTGAAATGTGATGCTACAGGTGAACACTAAAGATAAACTATAGTGATGACAAAAATAAATGAAGAAGATGTAAGATTGATAAGGGCAACTGGAGAAATCATCATCATGAGCATTTTATGGCCATTTTTCCACACTTGTGTGGGTTAGCTGCAATTACTAGATGGCTGCTTCTCATGCTTCACAGTCTCTTGCAGCTTCTATTATCAGGTTCCTTCCCCCTTGTGTATCTCTTAGCTGAATAAAATTGTTGGGTGTTAGCCAAATAAAGTATTATTACCTGTTTTGGCATCCCATAGTGAAGGAGTTAGCTCTGATGTCATTTCTTATGACGTTAACCCAAGTCATTTTTAGCTTTCTCTTTGCTCTGCTCCCCTCCACATTTAGACTCAAGCACCATTGGAGTGCTACTGTCAGGTAACAGTGGCTAACATATGTAATTGTGGAAAATGACCATAAAATGTTGGTGATGATAATGAGGGTTGTGGACTACTGATTTAAGATTCCAAATTCTTATGTTTCAGTGAATTTCATTTTGGTGATCTGTACTATATGTATCCAACAATGAGTGTGCCTCATCTCCTCAGTAGAGTTTTACACCACTTCAACTTTTCAAAAATATCTTCCCCTTGAACCCTTACCTAACTGGCCTTAAAGTTCTTTCTAGAATAAATAAGCACACTACACAGTGGGCCATACAGTGGGATATAAGGATTGGTCTTTCAATATTTACTTAAATTCTTCATTTTTCAGCTTTGGAAAAACTAAATAAAATATTTTTCATTTTAGGTATTCAGTCGAGGTGGCGGACTTTGACTTTGTAGCGAGTGAAGAGCCAAATTACAAAACATTATATGAGCAGCTGAAGGAATCAATCTCTCAAGCCATCTCTGGACAGGATTGGGAAGGAGATGAAGACAATAAGTGGCGGGGCAGAGCACATGTTGTGGAGAGACCCTTGGTAAGGGATTATGGAACTGTGCCACGCTGATCTTTACACTTTACTGTATACTCATGTTATGGTTATGCCCAACTGTGTTGTGTTGAATTTCCTTTCAGCTCTTGATAGAATGAGAATATGGATATGTTTTTTAATTTCTTGGAAGTTTTTTTTATGTAAAATGCTGAATATTTTTATATTTTTTTACCTTTTTTATCAACTATATCTCATTATGTAATTTGAAATTATTTTATGCTCCCTCTGGGATTTATTACATAAAATATTATTTTTCTTTATTGAGACCATTTTGTGACCACAGTATTCTGCACCAATTCTATCAAAAGTTTTTAAAATATTTCTTTCAATTTTATATTTTCTGCAGGAACTAAAAAGTTTCTGAAGTGATTGCCTGCTACAAATGTTACATACCTCATTAATTATATCATTAAGTTAAGAGAACATTTGGCATGGCATTATTGAGCACTGTATATTCCTAATAGAAAGTAAGGCTCTGAATATTACTGTGTTCATACCTGGTATAAATGGTATTAAAGAGCCCTGCAAGTAGATATCAGCATTAGATACTGTATGAAGATTGATTTCTTAGTTTATTTTAATAATGAAACATGAAATATAGGTTAACTAATGCAATTTTATATGGCCAACGAGTCCTCTTGAGTGACCTGCAAGATGTACCACCACTAAGCAAGCAGCTTTGGCAGAAAACCTTTGTCAAGGAACGTGCATTGCATAGTGGCAGGACACGTTATCCACTTGGTCAATGTTTATGCCACATACAGCTGTCTCACCCAGCCTAATAAGCAACACACTTCCACTTGCTGTACACTGAGGCTGAAAGCTACTCACACCTGCATTACCAGATGTAAGATCAATTAAATTTGTGATATGTATAGGCTATTTTATGGAAATATTTTTGTGACGTGTCTTTGAATGCAAAAACATGGCCCTGTTGCAAGGTTTTTTGCAGACACTGTTATAAGGGGTTGGGATGTGGAATTTCCGCACAGTCCAGCCAACAATCTCTGTTTTCTATCCTGTTTCCTGCACGGAATTAACTTCCCACTCCACATTTTTCTTATTTTGATAGTTTAAAAAAAAAATATTTTATATATATATATAATTTTTTTTTGTTTTTGTTTTGTTTTTTATTCTGTCATATAAAAACATCTATTACAAAATTATATTTGAGTATTTAAGATATTTGAGGAGGGGTTCAGTAGTATAGTAAATTCTTTCTGAATAGTGAGGTACTGCGAGAGTCTGAGTAACGTTTTGGTATACTGTGTATAGGTTTGGTATAAAACGGTAATATTCGAGTCTGGTGTATCAAGGTACAGTACACAAAGAAGCCAAAAATGCCACAGTGGTTTTAGAGAACCCTGACACAATGCTCCATAATAAAGGGTATGTAACAATGCTGACTTGTAGGATGTTTAAGGGAGGGCGCCATAATCCACAAAGGAGTTGGAGTGAGACAGAGGCATCTGGCTTTGGTAAACATCACATGTGCCCTGGGGGCTTGGTGTTTGACCGGGCTGGAGTTTCCATGATGTTGTGCGACACACAATTTGAAATGAGCTGCTCATGCTCATCTTGTACTCTCTAAATTATTTAGCTCTGAACTGCACCGTTTATGTAGAATTTTTGGTGTTAATGAGTCAGTCATTTAACTTTGAAACCATTTATGATGAACTTGTTTAAAGTGAGGGAGTACTGTACTGTATCTGGTATTCAGTACAGGCATCCCCCGCGTTACGGAACCCCGGGTTGCGGAATTTCGCTCTTAGGGAATTTGTAAATTATGACCAATAATTTTGTGATATGGCCCGTAAATCCGCCCTTACGGAAATTGGGGTAAATTTTAACAATTAAAAAAAATCACTATAGTGTATAAAATTAATATTTTTTTTTAAAAATTATGATTTGTTTGGTGTGGATTTCTTAGCATTTGTTACCGCCAAGTGGAGTCACTCCATTGTTTACATCCAGTGTGCGCGCATGTTTCTCGCCCCAGCAGTTGGATTTAACTTTTACAAACATACAGTAAGTACAGTGCAGTGCAGTACAGTGCATTACCCTTATTCAAGATGACTGTATTGTATGTGTTTATAAATGTTTATTTTCATTCATAAAAGTGCTTGAATTACTTTTTTTGGGCCCCCCCCCAAAAAATCCTTAGGAATGCATCTCCAGTTTTATATTGGAAGTCAATTGGAAAATAGGTTTCGCGTTACGGAATTTCTCGATACGGTCAATTTTCCAGGGACACAACCCTTCTGTAACGAGGGGGGACACAACCCTTCTGTAACGAGGGGGATGCCTGTAATTAGGAAGGGTAAAGTTTTTAAAATTTAAGTGAAATTCAATTCCTGCCAAAAAGTTGGTGCTTGGTGTTGTGTGTAGTTAGTAATTTTTGTAAATGGTTTAAATTGCATTATTTTTATTTATTATTAATATTTCTTATCTTTTACAGAAAGGTTTAGTTTACACACGAAAAAGATAACACGTAACTATTTTGGAGTTTAGATGAATTTTAGGGTAACATTTTGAGATTGGGGAACCTAACCCCATTATTACTACAGGTCCATAAGATATACAGTTTCAGTAGTAATATAACCTCATGGATTGGATAGAATTTTCTGTTTATAGTTTTCTGTTTGAAGAGCTCCATTATTTAGTCTAGTGTGATCAGAAAGTATATAAGATGCATTTTCAGGTATTTAGCCCTCAGAAGGAGTGCTGCCCAATCTAAAACAAATTCAACAGACTCTTTTGCTCTCTAACCTTTGATCTCATATCCTTAATCTGGTTTTAAATAATTGCAAGTCACTTATGAGGACCTGTAGACCATTAGTTAAGGGTTGTTTTAAAGTTTAAGGGACAAGATGAGACACCTTTTTATGGCAGAGGTGGTTGGAGATGTGAACCAAAAGTTCACTGGATCAAGGTTTAAATCCTGATTTTCTGGGTGAGAAATTTGCTTGCAGCATTAACACTGTTCAAATGGATAATGTCTTTGGCCACTTACCAGTACAACCTTCTTGTTGATGGCTGTGTCTTCGAAGAGATGCTTAGTTGTGGTTCATCTTGCAGGCCTTCATTTCATTCCTTCAGACAAAAAATGGGATTTTAGGACTCAGTCCTTTATTTTTAGTATGGAGTTTAACCACTGGTTGGATTGCAGGAGACAGCTTTTTGGTATCACATATGAGGCTCCCCGCATCGTAAGGTTCGTTGAGACCACCATGGGCAAAACCCATCTTTTTTTTTGGAGAGCACTAATTTCGGCCTAGCTCTATACGATGGTAGTTGATAAGATCTCCTTACTTCACTGTAAATAAGATTGAAAGCCCCTTTTAATATAGGGTAGAACATCGATTTGTGGCAGACAGGAAAGTATTGACTTGGCTTTTGCGTCGTCAGGTGCTCTCATCCTATCAGTGAGTGAGTGAGAGGAGCGGGTAGCCAATCACAGCGGCCGAACTGCAACCTCCTCCCCTGTCTCGGCCAATGACAGTGAGCATATGCTATCTACATCACGGCCCCTCCAGCCAATGAGGCAGAATCCCTCTCTCCCTATCCCTCAGTTCTCTTTTGTTGTGCCAGGATCCACACTCTGATATCGATTAAAGTGAAAAAAAGCCATAAGTGGGTGGGAGTTTTGTTGCTTCAAGTCAACATTGCAACAACCCAGTACACTACTTCGTCATGCGCTACCTACCACCTGCAAGTACAGGCCTTTAGCTTCAAAATGCACCACAAATGAATGCTGTATCTCTAAAAACAACCAAGTTATGCATGTTTGAAGTTGAAAAAACTTTAAACGCGATTTTCTCGGCTTTCAAATTTTGGCGCGAATAACCCATACGACGCGGGGCGCCTTATATATAGGGGATTTATTGTTGGTCACCAAATTTGTCTCGGGGAATTGTTTAGTTCTTTTATGATTTATTTTTCCATAAGGCCTTGTCTATGAATCAACCAGTCTCAGTTTTTATTTGTAACTTTTGTATTGTTTTATCTTATAAAAACTTATTAACATGAATAAATCATAAAGCAGCACAGAAAAAGTCTTGTTATCCAGTCCCAGTGGTACCTGGATTAGTAGGTCAGCTAACAAAAAAAGTTGGCAACATGGTCAAGATTCTGTTACATCCATCCAAGCAACCACCACAAGTAACTACAAGGTATTATATTCTGCACAGTATTGTACAGTGAACCAGTTTGGAGGATCACACATGAGAGGGATTTTTAAAGCACATTACTTAAGACAGGCAAAACTCTTGTAGCAGAGTAAGTTTAGGTAACTTCAACTATCTGATGTACAGTACTGTATTCAAATTATCGTGTAGACACATCCTCTCTGTCCAGCAACTAAGTTACACCTGAGCTTAGATACAGTCAGACAGTGGCTGTTATTGTGCCAGCAACATTAATTTTTCACATTTTGTGATGAGACTAAATTTGCAAAGGTTTTTATCAAAAGGTGAACAAGTTAGCAGTATTATAATTTAATGACCAGTTAGTGATAAATGTGATGAATATAACAGATGGACTTTTATTTTTGCCAGGCTTACCTTGGGAAATTAAAAAAACAAGAAAGTGTATTACAGAGTATTATAAACTTCCACATTATAGAAGATAGTTTCCCAACAGGATTAAAATATCATTTGGTAGAATTTAAAAACAAATTACTCCTTATGGAAATTGAGATACAGGGTATAGCTTTAAATATTAGCTTGCACGGTTAGTTGCTGCAACAGCAGTTGAAGCTCATCAGGTACTGACTCACAAACGTACAAGGTTACACACCTGGGATAAAATCTGGCTGGAACACATGAAGAAAAAGTCAGATATAATAGCCGGACTAATTGGGAAGATGCTTAACAGGACTTTTACTGTAGATTAATTTCAGTACTAGTATTAAGTTAAAAAAAATGTTGAGAGAGAGAGGGAAAAAAATTTCTTATTGGTCAGGTCAGGATAGTGATACTGCTTAT